TAAAAAGTTACAAGTAATTTGGAGGCAAATCTTGGCATCTTTCATACAGAGACTGGAGGGTTGATCCAGTAAGTTTTCCATCGGCTCCAGCTGCCTTCAGCATGGTATGATAGTTGGTGATGGTATGAATAATTGTGAGCGATTGCCGAGTGGATGTCAGGGATGGAGATGCTTTTCAGCAAGGGGCTCTTAGGAGCTCTGGTAGAGGGTTCTCCTTTGAGGGTTTCCTAGCAGGCATCCAGCTCACTGTCTCTTTTTACAGCTTCTGTATCGAAGTGGACTTTTTTTAGAGCCTTCAGCTACTGATAGGGACAAGGTGTTTGATGCCATGAACATAGAAAAAGAGCTGTCTTGAAGCTGTAAGACCCTAGAGGTGGTATGACTGGAATAAAGCAGATGAGTATTATCGGTTGGGTAGGATGGCTTGAGAAGAAAGGCTTTGCGTAGGGCAGGTCTGCAGAGACCTTGTACTGGACAACATCACCCAGTCCCTTTTTGGAATGGCCGAGGTCAGAGCTGTTGGGACTGTGGTGAAGACTATGGGTCAAGACCCATGCTGTGGCTCAAGCCACAAGCGGCCTGGCTGTACCCACGTGGCTACCCCCCGTCCACCCCAAAGCAATGAACCTTGTCCGTACCCTCTTCTGGGTACACTTTCTCATGTGTACCCTTCCCAGAAATGAGACGGGATTGTCTGGAAAAATACCGGAAAAGTAAAAAGTTGGTTTAAGTTACCTGTGTGCCAGAGGTAGGTACAGAGCGTACCACCTATCCTGCTCGCAGCGGGTGAGCGAGGACAGGTGGGAAACAAAGGTGTGCTTTCCTAGTATGGCCAGGAATACAGTCCACATATGAATGCAATTCTAAAATAGAAGCAAAAATTAATGCTAAAATTGTGTTAAACCACCACTTATTTTTTTAAATCTTGACTAAACTCTCCATTAAAAAATTATAATTTTACCAAGGAATACTTTTCTCCTGTAAATAAATCTGAAGTATTCTTTTGTGAGAGAGAGAGAATCAGAACAGGTGGAAAACTGAAATAGCTGTTGCACTGTTCCCAGAGTAACTTTTATTTGCCACCTGGTTTCAGGATGTGTTACATAGGCATGCTCTCTATTTAATTGTACGGATGGTCTGCTATGATGATGGTCTGGGAGCAGGAAAAAGTTTACTGGCTTTGAAGACAACAGATGCAGCCTCAGAAGAATGCAGCCTCTGGGTATATCAGTGCAATAGTTTGGTAAGAGTTTATGTTTACAGTATTTAATTTAGGTATTGGTATTTTGATTGTAAAGGGAGATTCTAAAACCCAAGGCCCTTGTGAAGGCTTTTTGGCAGAAGGGGGATTGCTCGATTAAAAAGAGTATAAGTGTGCCCTGGCTGAGGAGGGGAGAAAAGCCCTGCTGACTGCATTTGATCAGCTTTCAGGAAAAACACCTACATTCCCTAAAATTGCCAATGAAGATTGACCTGAGAAAGCTCTTTGCAATCTAAAGAGTGCTCCAATAGTAGCTGCTAAGGACAATCCTCCGTCTGTGTTTTCACAGACAAAACCAAACCTCTTCAGATCGGAGAGAGCAGGGAGGGATCGAGTAACAATTCTGGTAATAGAGCGTACATTCATATTTGTAAGCAAGGGAAGTGATCTCCTCTTAGGAGCAGGGGAACTCCTTGTCAAGACGCTATGATTTGACACACACCCTCAGCGGCACTGGGGGAACACACGAACTGACTTTCTGATTGCTCGTGTCATGCTATGATGAAAGCTAACGACTGACTGGTTTCAAAAGAGCTCATTTGAAACAGCTTCCCACGTGTCATTGCAGACCACAGAAATCAAATTAAATCTCACTTGTGCTACTCCATTTTGCCTGTCTCTGCCAAAAGAATGATAAAGGTCACATTCTGCTTTAAATGAGTTTTGAGATGTTTAGAAGTTTTTCAGAAAGTGTTAATGTGCATGTTTGGATTTTTTTTAGGAACAAGCACAAGCTATTTGCAAAGTGTTATCTACAGCCTTTGATTCAGTTTTAATGTCGGAGAAGTCCTGATTTTCTTCAGCAGCATGGGACTGCGTAGTACAAGAGGCCTTTGTGTGAGGAGGTAACGGGGCTCCTTTGTGAGGCCACGGACTGGCTGCAGCTACACACAAACTTAGAAAAGACTTGCTGTGCAAAGAAGAGCCGTGCAGCCTTGCACATGGTACTTTGTCATTCCCCACACATGACTTGAAGACATTATTCCATCTTCGGTTTCCAGGACAGTACAGGATTTTATATTTAACATTAATTTTTTTCCTAAATCGTGTTTTGTATATTAATGTCAATATTGTAGAAATGTAAAATAAAACTGACACTTGCTTCTATCTCTTTGTCTGAAAAACAATTTGTTAATATAGACTTCAGTCCTGCTTAACATAGATATCGGAACAAAACAAGAAGAGCAAAGTGATAATAGGTAGTCGTTTGGTGCTTTACGCCTCTGATTTAATCTCAGGTGTGCCGTCTACACGGTTTCTACGTTCCACTAGAAATCCAAAAGATGTACATTTTTTTTGCCCAATTGCTAGTTGTTTGTATTTCTCATTTTACACATTGACAAGAAGAATATTGCCTAAGCAATGCAGAGTAACAGAAGAGAAGCAGCCAAAGTGATTTTAAAAGTAGTTTTATTTTTCCAGACATTTGACTGGTTAACAAGAGTAAAATTTATTAATCATGCTCTAATTATAAATCACTGCATCCAGGACATTGAAAATAAGAGTTGATTTTAGGTTATACAATATATACAGTTGCTCTGCAACTAAACAAAATAAAAACAACTGAATTGAATATTATACATCTCATAGCATTCTAAGCTGCATTTTAAGTGTCACTTGCTCCTTTTTAAACAGTTAACACAGCAACCTAATAGTCTGTCTCTATTAACAGGTTTTTTTTGAATCACTATTTTAATCAGATTTGAAAAGTTGTATGAAATATGCCAAAATTTTGGACTTAAAATTCTTAATTTTATATTATAAATAGATATCTACAGGCTCTAGAATTTCTTTTTCCTCTGCCAGAGGAGCAAACTTTGAGAAACATTGAAAACCTAGCAATAAATTTTGCCTAGCTGCTCTTTATTGGTCCTCAGGATTTTGTCTGTCCGCCCTGTTCGTGCTATTGAGTTTCCTACAAGTTTCCTAGTTTCTACGCGACCAGCGAACAAGGTTGTGACATTCTGAAGTGTATTCCTCTTCTAGCAGAACCAAGGAAAATTTGCATCTTTGTTTAACTTTACGAGTTGTTACATACACTATAAGATTCTGTGTTAAAAATACTGTACATTAGGAGATCTGTGCAAAATAATATGCCCATTTACTCTCTACACTCTATCAGGGATAGAAACATACAAAATAGTGTTGCAAACTGAACATATCAGTAAGTGAAGAAAATTGTAGCGCTAAACTATTACTCTGTCGTTTTACCGGGAACTTGGAAAATACGGACTAATTTGCTTCAACTTGCAACAAAAATATCTCGAAACGTTCCAGTTTGTTCCCCGTTTATACTGCAGCAACAGCATCTAGGAAATGAAAGTTATACTTGGCTGTACCCATGCATCTGAGAGGCTATCAACCAACTGTACCATTTAGGAAAGGCGATACAAGGTAAGATGAGCGTTGCTCTTCCAGCACTAACGCAATGTGATTTTTCTCCAAATCGGCGTATATGGTGGTGGCCTATTTTCCATTCCGTTCAATATAAAATGGCCAATTTAAACACCATTTGTCAGAAATTCAAAGTTCTCTCGATAAATCTAGAGATACAATATTCACGAAACGTGATCAAAGCCAATGTGACCTAGACATTGATTTTTCTTATCCTATGCCATCAGTTGTTTCCTGTAGCATAAGCAAAAACTGGTACAACTTCACAATATACAAACATCAAAATGACGTCAGATGGGTGTTTCGTATTCCATCAACCAACTGGGAACCATCCATGGCCTAGCCTTTGTTCACAAATTAGTAAAACAAATTTAACAACAGTGTAGCTACCATACATGTGGGTATATTCTATAAATACAAAGTGAGTTAGCAAACTATCATTGTTTGCAAGGTAGTGGCACACAAATTTTATAAAACGGAACATAACATAGTGTACTTGTGAGGTGATACCTTATTGACCAAGGATAATTACCTAAATGTTCCACCAAATATGTTCTCTGCGTGAACACATTGCTGGATGATTTAAGAAAACCCGAGAATTTAAAAACAAAGTCTAAACACTATAATGAGACAAGCATAAGAAATGCTCTGCAATCCATCATCAGAGTTAAGTACATTTCAGGAAGTGCAGTTTTCATATCCTTGAGTTCACGTAGTAACTCGTTAATATTGCCATAGTTTAGTTAACCAGCAGTAGTCACGTTAAATGACCAAAAGGGATGTAACGTACAGAAAGGACATTCAAAAAACAGGTTCTACACACGTGCAGCATAGAAAAATGAACAGTCTCAAGCTCACAAAATTAGAACTAGGAAGTTCAACGACTAACACAGATTTCAGATAACTTTAAGCAAATATCTACATCCATTCTGAAAGAAAGTTTCTCCTGTGGTAAACTGAAATACTTTTTCACTTTTACCTGGCCAAAGACACCTGATTAAAATCATTTATTCCGTAATAGTTGACATCCTGGATGACAGCCAGTACGGCAAGATGCTGAATGAGTCCAATTTAGAACTACGCAGCAGCTTGCATGTTTTGGTTCCAACACTTCAAATGGTATCAAGAACGGGATAAATTCACTGCCCTGGTAGATGCACACAATTTCTTTGACTGGGGAAGCAACACTGAACTGTGGTATTGTCATGTTACAAAAGGGAGAATAAAATTACAGTGAATTGATTGAAAAGAACATTCATGATGTTGTGATGTTCACACACTTACATGGATTTTGATTGTTAAAGCTTTTCAGTTCACCTTGAAAAATACAGGAAGAGGGTTTTTCTTAAAGTGTAAACTGCTCATGAGAAGTTTTCACATAGAAAAAAGTTTTAAAAGTCCCAAAATCAGAACAGTGGCAATAAAAAAGTAAACTACAGTACCTAGGACTTGGGCAGTGCTCTGGCAAGGTGTCTGCAGATAGGTAGATGAAATGAAATAGAGCAAAACTTATTTCTGTGACTGCTGGAAATGAGAAATGTCTCCACTTATCAGTAGCAATTTAGTCAACAATAAAGTGCACAAATGATACAGGGAAAGCTCCTTTCCGACTGGGATCTCCATCAATATGACCAATCTGAAAGAGTCCAGATATTTTTCAAGTTAATCTCAAAAAGGCATTTCAGTAGCACCAACATGAGTAGCAGTGCCCTTCCTGCCTGCAGCACGACAGGCCTCTCCCCACATCTTTTCTGCAGTGGTGTTCTTTTTCTTTTGCCAACAGGAAACTTTATCAGAAAATTCAGTTTGACAAGGTGCATTTGTTATTTAGCTATAGACTTTTTTTTTTCAAATTCTGTTTTATCCAGTTCTTTGAAAGTAACGCCTCTTAATGCAGCACCACTGCTACATCATTTCGGCGCATTCTGCAATGCCTGGCAGCCCATATTCTGCCTCTGTTAACTTGCTTCTGCTTCCCCCTCTTAGCAATCACTGAAAGGTAAAAGGATGGCTCAAGCTTCAACAGTTTTGGGTTTTACATGCATCTGTTTGTGTTTATACAGCATGATTGTCAATTTAGATGCGATCTGAAGTTCTGTTCTTCGCTAGCTAACAGAGTAAGGCAAGCGTATTCATGCATAACAATTTTCCAAGACTTCACTTCAGCTGATGAGCTCTGGAATGTAAATAGTTGAGATGGTTTCCCAGCTGAAATAGACCATTTGTCAATCTCAGTCAGCTGAAGAATTAGGACAACACAAAGCTGTCTTCCGAGGCCCACCACATGCATCTTCAGGGAAGATGAAATAGTAGCAGATTCTTAAACTGGTGACATCCCCCAAGAATTTCCTGAATCAAACAGACCATGTCCCCTGTATATTGTGAACCCTATTAATGAGGCTTTTTTTTTTTTTTTTTTAAATGAGAAAAGCCAAAAACTTATCTGAAGTTTGATTTTTGAACAAAAGAAATTTCTGGAATCAGGTTTCCATGAGATTAAACTTTTCTTGTTATTTGGAAACCCAACAGGGGATCTTCTGAAGTCAGTGTCAACCTCTAGATTTCATTTATTTCTTTTAAAATATGTTGATGGAAAATGCAAAATACTCACCCACCACTCCTGATCTTCTTCACCATCAACTACAATAATATCTCCCTCTGAAAAAGTCAGCTCATCTGGGTTATCTGCTACACAGTTGTAAATTGCTTTTACTCTCTTGGGTTTAGTTTTTGACTGAAATATAAGATAAGTAAATGTTAATAATACAGCATGGAAGAGACAGAATAGACTTGGAGTTGATCTAAAGAAAGCTGCAGAACTGCTTCCAACCACTATTCTTCATAGGTTAGAGTTCAGCTACATCTTTTATGCTGGCTGCTCATGCTTGTGGGTGTTTGGGACAGAGGCTCCAGATGGGATAAGGAAAAGAAGGTCTCATCACCATCCTGGAGTCCCCCCCAGGGACTGGTCCCAGTCTCTAGTTAGGTCAGCTATGGAGCAGGAAGCTTGTACGGGAAGAAGAGACTCCATCCACAAGTCTACTTCTCTCCACCAGCAAAACACTCTGCTGTGGACAGTACTGCCCAAAAATCTCTTAATGTGCCATTTTGTTAGAGCTGAGCGCCATGCAGAAAAAGGGGGACGTGGACTGGGAAGGAGGGAGGTAGCATGATTGTTATGCTCCTCTAAGCATTCATCTGCATTTTAGTATAAAAAACCCTGACCTGCCCAGACCAGGCATACCCTTAGGCTCTACCTGTGGGGCACACCCCTGTGAGCTGGCAGCCTTGCACTGCATCATAGCAACTTTGCCAGGTGCTCCATCACAGTCAAGTTAGTTTGAACCACAACCGCCTTTTAGGTCAAGAGGGAAAAGCTTCCATCAGTACAACAGTGATATAATTACTAGCTTCAAAGTGCAGTAATTACAGGTATTTCTTGTCCTTTAGAAGGCAAAGAAATTAAAATAGATCCCATTCCCAGAAGACTAAAATCTTGCAGGAAAGTTTCCCATGTATCTACAATATGGTTTCAAAAATCTAAAACACACATTGGGGAAAAAAAAAATAAAAAAGATGCATCAGGAATTTCCATCTGAAAAACATGCTATTGGGCAAATGCACCACATAGGAGATAAGCCACTGGCTACATGTGCATGTAGAACTAGACCTCTTTTTTTTTTACTCAAGGAGCACTTTGCAATCATCTCCTAAATCTGGGCTGGCCTGTGGATTCTCTGGCAGGGTAAAGACTCAGCAAAAAAGGCTGGACTATAAGCCTAAATGGAGCGATTGAGCCAAAGTACTTTAGCTAGACTGATCTAGCTAAAGCTCTTTAGCTGAGGGGCCCTTGACTAAATCTCAGCTAAGATGCTTTAGCTAGATCGATTTAGCTAAAGCACCTTAACTAGCACACACTTCCTGAGCCAGGTTTCCCTTACTTCTCTGTCCTAGGACAGAAGAAAATCATCCAGCTGATTTTCTCAGTCTCACAAAATTCACCCTACTGAAGCCCTAGAGACATCTGGAGAGTCAGATTTGTCTTTCATATTATGTGCCATTAACATTAAATTGTGGAGACACTGTGACTGTTCCTAAAAACCAGCCAGGATACCCCACTCACTCATAAGTAAAGCAATTTGTCCCATAAAACAAAGAAGGCAAGAACAACATAGAGAACTACTACAACCTTACTTTATACAGAAAGCCAGCTACAGAGCTGTTTCAGAACTGACAGATGTGTTGAAAGGATGTAGCCAGAACATCAGAACAGTTCTGAATCCCAGAACACACAACAGAAACTGATCAGGGTCCAACAGCTTCACAGAGTAAATATAGCAATTCCCTTGGTGCATGTAAGCAAAGGGGATAGATATTCCATTTTACGCTAATCAGATCATTTAATCTTATTGTGGCCTAAAACATTAAAGTTATTTTGATGCAAGACAGACAGTAACTTGGTTGAACAAGAGTGGGGAAGGCAAGGAAACAGAAGATTTTATACTCCCAACTAATGCAAGATGAACTCCAGATGTCTCTGTGGCTTTTCAGCACTATCAGATGAGAAACAGCTAAAAGGAGTTCTAAGAGCTCAAGACAAAAGTGCAAGGCTATGCGCACAAACACGCTGAAGTCTGTCCTGGAGAGCTACTATTTCAGTAGACATGGTTAAGGAAAAACGGCTGAAGGTAGAGAGACAGAGGAGTGAAGAAGGCAGGTCTTTTCGCTACAGCCCATTAATAAGACACTCGCAGATGCAGGAACAGCATGTCTCCCACCTCTCAGTTTATTATTTACCTACTGAACCACACTCCTACCCAGAATGTAAAGCATGAAACAGCCCAGACCTAGTCACACACAGCATCTCAAAAAGTAGGGACTCTCTATATTGTGAGTTGCTTACTGCAGAGAAACACTGTCATGATCAAGCATATGGATGTTTTATGTCTATCACATGAGAGAGCAATATAAAATCTGAGCAAGGACCAAAGACCCAGCTGAACTACACATAACATAACAGCTCAGCTGACATCTGGAAGTACATCCCTTTACCTGCACCAGTATAAGAACACAGGTATTGACACTAATGTGTGTGTTACCAATAAGAATACGTAAGAGTATAAAAAGGCCACACAATCGGATCAAGAGTCCATGTAAATCCAGTATCTCTTTTCTAACAGTCACTGTAAGGCTGGGGGAGGGCGCAGAAGAATACTACACAATACTTCCAGCCTTCCCCTTCACCCTTCAACCACCTTCTGGTTGGGGATGTCTCAAGTCAGATGCAGTTTCTGTGTATTTACCAAGAGATTTCTCTCCTGTCATCCAGTGAATGCATGACAAAGAGACGCAAAGAGAACCAACTGCACAAAGAACCAATTTCTTTTGTTTTGAACCTGACTCTTACTAGTCTTGTCTGAAGCCATTTGATCTACCTATGTGCACAATTATGAGTATATCTACTTCCATTATAAAAGTAAGCACAAAAGCACCCTTATCACTTACTTCACTGAAGTTTAAGAATGAAGTTACATATGATCTACAAGTGATTCACTTACCAAGCTCATCTACAAGTGACTCACTTATCAAGCTTACCTACCTTCAATAAGCTAAACCATACATTCTGTGGATTGTGTTGGTCCCATTTGGACACAAGCAAAGAATCCATGCTTCTTTTCTTTGCTTTCTCTTCGGTTTTTGTTTGGGGGAGGGTGTGTTAGTTTTTTTTTGTAATTTAAAATCACATACTATCATATAGGAAATGCAAGAAAAGTCAAGTTTTCATAAATATTTAGTACAAGTCACGCACATATTTAAAACAGGATACAGGCTTTGTCTTTTCCATGATTCTTGCACTTTCCCCGTAACAGGATACACTATTATGTCAACAGCATGTTTGATAAGAGTGAGGAAGATTTAATAAAATCAAAACCCAGATCATCTACTTACTATTTGTGATTTCCTTGGCATTGGTGCTGGTGGCTGGATTTGTGCCAAAGTATTTGTTGTAGAACCAGTCTGTGTTACTGGAATTTCACATACAGACTCTCCTGCTGCTAAGGTAAGTAAAACAAGTAAATTTTAGGCATGCTTTAAAAAAAAGCAAGAGTGATGATACAAATTGAAACTAAATTAATTACTCTTTAAAGGGTACAAATAATTTTATATCCCATGAGTACTTCATTTTTCAACGGTTCTTTCTAAGTAACTGAACAGATTTTTTCTATCCTTTTCCTTACCAAAAAGGCCTCTTTTCCCAAAGACAACTACCTAAGACCTTTAATACTGCAGATATGCTGAAAGAGAAAAAAGCCTATAAAATAGATGAGAGCAGAACCAAATATCCTATTTCCCCATTCATTCACTGCAGACTGTGTGCTTTTAGAACCCTTCTTTCTCAGTAAAGGCCATCATTATCAAGATGCTCTATCCTTCACTGGAGACTCCTGACACAGATGGCAGATAGTCATTAGCAAATTCCCCTTGGGTATGTCAAGGGGAAATAAAAAAAAAAAAAAATCACAGTAAGGACCAATGAACATAATATATAAAGTGGAAGGGGAAACTGGGTAGGAGAAATTCCACTACAACCACCACAAAATCCACACAAACTTTGGACATTTTATTGAGATGACATTATTGTAATGTCCCAAGTAGTTACTTTGAACAATGAAAAGAGCAGAGTGAATAATGAACTCTGTTCATTATCATGAAAAGAGCAATATCAAGTTGAAATTTAATTAAAACTATCACTATATGAGCTTTAGCTTTCAAACTAGAAACACATTTTTCTGTTCTAAAATGTGTATCTGCTACCTTGTTTATGACACATGCAAACAAGAGAGTAAACTAACTAAAGTTTACATAATGCATCCTTTGTTTGAGTGGGGTTTAGGTGAGGTTAGTTAAGCTAAAGCCCAACTGCAATTGAATCTGGCAAGGGATGTCGAAGACAAGAAGAAGGGCTTCTGTAAATACATAGGTAACAAAAGGAAAATTTGGGAAGCGTGGGCCCATTGCTCAATGAGATGGGGGACCAGGTTACACAGGACATGGAAAAGGCTGAGGTACTGAATGCCTTCTTTGCCTCAGTCTTTACTAGCAAGACCGGTCTTCAGGAATCCCAGGTCCCAGAGACCAGGGGAAAATCTGGAGCAAGGAAGTGCAAAGTCCTGCACCTGGGGATCAAGAAGCCCATGCACCAATGGCCACCCAGCTGGAAAGCAGGACTGGAGGCAATGGGCACAAACTGAAACACAGGAGGTGCCTTCTGAACAGCAGGAAACACTTTGTTACTGTGAGGATGACCAAGCTCTAGGACAGGTTGCCCAGGGAAGCTGTGGAGTCTCCATCCTTGGGAGATATTCAAAAGCCACCTGGACATGGCCTTGGGCCACTGGCTCTGGGTGGCCCTGCTTGAGCAGAGGGGTTGGGCCAGATGACCTCCAGAGGTCCCTTCCAACCTCAATCATTCTGTGATTCTGTTTCTTATTACTTGGCCCCATTATTTACATTAACTGGCCCATAACTCTGTTCATGCAGAAGAGCTTGAGGCATCAGGGCCTACACAATCAAGAAGAGAAACAAGAAGAATGCTGGTACTGACTGTATTTAAATGTGTAAGGTAAATAAAAAAAAAAAAAACCAGTCTCCCTTAGGCTGTTATACTGATAGCTTAATTACAATAAAATAAATCTCTAAACCACAATTACCAGTTTGTTGTAGAGACCCAAGTCCTCTGGACTGCGCTTTGTTAGTTAAGCCAGATGACTTCTCAGTCCTGTGCAGAAAGTTAGAAATTCATCCATTTAAGAAACAAACAAGAACTTGAACTGCAACAATACAGAGTATTTTCCAAATCATAAAATTCTTGTCATGTCTTCAGTATATTCTGGTGACAGCTATTTTGTTTTTAAAAATACTACTTTGCTTCCATATTTTTGATTACACCAATCATAGGTTGCACTTAATTTAAAAATGTAAGGCAGAAGAATAATATAGGTTCAATTACTGCAATTTGTGTAGAGCAGATTTTCTTTTCCGAAGTTCTGAAGTTCCTTTCACTGCTGTTTTAAAATTCTTTGTTAAAATTATGTATCCATATTAATCTGTACATTATAGCAAGCTTCAGCAAGTTGCTTCTCCCTTTTACTTAGTATGGTATATGCAATTAGAGGACTAGAAAGGGAGCTCAAAGGTCAAAGGTTGTTTACCTCTTTCATTCACAAAGGACCAACTATGTATATTATTTATCTCCCATATACACATACATGTCCCTGTATCTTATAACTAAGTTTGCATAGGCTGTACTCTGCCAAATTTTCAGTGTCGGAGAATCCAGAAACTTCCCAGACAAGTTACTATGATATTTCCCTATGCTTACTTTTGGAAAGCTTTCCCTAGTGTCTAACTAAATTATTCTTGCCACAACTTAAACAAAAGTCTTCTTTTTTAGAGCCATCATGAGATGTAAAAAGGAATGGCATAATCCAACACTTCGTACATATTTGAAGATGTGTATCTATGCCACAATTTCTTTTTTAAAAAATATAAGAGAATCTTATTTCTTCCAAACTTTTCTCACAGGTCGTATTTTCTAGACTTCTCATTACCTTATTGATCTCCCCTGGTTTCTGCCTCACTATTTTGTATCTTTATTTTACTGCCATACCCAAAACTCAACACAGAAGTCCAGCTGAGGCATTACTGATGTTGAGTCAATTGGAAGGATTTATTCATATAGTTTGCAGACTATAATCAAACAATACCATTTCTCTTTGACTCTTCCACAACAGAATGAGTTGGCTGACTTACTTTTATTTCTGATTCACTATGTCCTTGCAGATTCTTCTCTTAGGACTTTTGCTTAACCATACTCTGCTGTTCTCCATACTTCGTTTTTGTAGCTGATTGTTTTTAAGTACTAAGTGTTGCTTACTGAATAACACCCCTCTTCTCCCTTGACTACTACTTCAGTTTCTCAAGGCTGCTTTGGATATAACCCTGTTTTCCAGTACACTTGTCCCTCCTAACTTTGTTTCCTGCTAATTTAAAACCAATATTTTCTGTTCCGGGTCTCTCTGCTCCTGCCATGAATGAAAATATTGAATGGAACTCAACCTACGCACAGCACGTGAACAATAAATGGCACAATCAGACATAAGATTCCGTTCTCTCTTCTTTGTTATTAGATGAGAATTAGAAATGGATTCTTCTTTGTGGCTTCTTATTTCCATCACAGCTAAGCATGCTGTAGATATTCTGCAAGTCATACAATCTTAAATCACTAGGCTGTCTTGTTTTTACTGTGGGAACCCTTGTAATCTGCTCCCTTAGTGTCTGCCTTCTGTTCATTCCCATACTCTAGAACACATCAGTGGAAAAAGTATGCATGCTTTATAGGTGACTTGCATGTTAAATACCATAAAATTGAAAAGTTACTAATAATTATGAAGTATATTAAATACTAAAATGACATCAGTTACCCAGGAATAGGCTTTCTTTGAGAGATTCTACTAGGAGGTTGTGGGGGCAGTGGTGGTGGGGTTGGCTTGGTTTGTGGAGGAGCTGGTTGCTGTTTAGATTGCTGGTTCAAAGCTTCTATAATGCTGGCTGTCTTTGCCACTGGAGGCGGTGGTGCTGGAGAAAGCACATCTATAAAAGAAAGTTAGATAGTGAAATGGAATTAAATGTCTATTTACCATTTTGTTTCTTGGGTTCTCATCCACAGGTTTTCCTGTTACAGGATTTACCCCCATCCAAGAAAAATGCTTTACTACATGTAATCAATAACTTAAACAGAAAGCAATCCTTCCATTGGAAGGAGGACCTCTTTGGAAAGAGGTTTACCTTTTGTTTCACCTAGTCAAAGTCAGAGAGCTCACAAGTACTTCAATTCATTCAAGCATTAAAGTACAAGCAAAGAAAATTCTTACCAAAGTCACTCATATTCTTGAAAATAGTAGAGCAGAATATATTTAATAAAGTGCTAATATTGTTTGCTCAATAAAGGCCTTCCGTTTGTGTTATATGGAAAAGCAACAGAGTGAATAATATCTGAGAAATTTTATTTAGAGGAATGACTTTTCTTAAAATTCTGTTACGATTAACATCTAGCTAACTTCACATTAGGTTTAGCAATTAATTCAAATTTCTATTGAATTCTTGAAACCACCACAACAGCAGCTGGCAATGCATTAAGACATCTTTTTGCATTCCTACGGTCTGCAAGAATCAAGCACAATGTGGAGACGTAGCCCCAGGCCCATATGTTACACTCACGTTACACACATGTTACAACTAGTGAGAAATGCAGCATTGAAACTCTATATAAAAGTGAAGAGCTCTTTAGCTCTAGCAATAGATAGTATTTCCTGTTGACCCTGCGCTACACCATACAGTCCTCACTGCAACATCAGAGAAGACAGTTCATACAAAGTTACTGGATGGGAACGATAGGCCAAAGCTACAGTCACCCAAAGAGGAAGTATGAGTTGTGGAAATGGAAAAATAAGCCAACTGTGATTAGATACAGCAGAAGGGAAAACAGGGGAAAGTGGAAACATACTTGTAGATGTTACACGCAATGGCGGCACAGGGGGATGAATAGCTGGTGGATCTGATGAAGACCTCTGCCTGCTTATACTTTCCACTCCTAAAGAATTTGTCTTCCACATTGCATTAGATGAAGAAATTGTCTGAATACCACTGCCAAGAACTGAAGGCTGAACTAAAAAGAGAGGAAAATACTGTATTATTATTATTGCTTACCCTAAGCACAAAGTGTTAATATTCACACCCGTGCTTTTAAAAATGGTGCCGCTATACCGCTATATTCAGCAATAGGAACCACTGCCATCCTGCTGGAATGCCCGAGCAGAAATGAGAGTCTGGTGTAAAAATTACAGAGAAGTTTCTGGGTGAAGTCTTACTAACACTTTACCTAAGTAAAATTTGTTTCCAGTCAGTACTTTAAAATTTGTCAACACTTGAAAAAGCAGAAATTTCTCAACAAGACAACAGAAGGCAAGTCTTGCTACCTTCTTTAATCCCTGACTGATAGCTGTAATCTTCTCAGGTACTGCACGAAAAGGACCTCACTCTCACATGAGCATTAGCGGACATTGCTGACTCAAAAGTGAAGCATCAGTTTTGACTTGGAATTGACTTAAAACTGTAATTCTGAATTTCACCCAAACGAGAAGCTATAATAACTAGTCATGAAACTGTTACAAAGTACCACTTCTTCCGGGCCTCCTAAATGCCTCCATTCTTAGGCTGAAGAGCTGCCTCCCCATTTCATAAAAACACACTACAGGTTTTCTTCATAAAGCCAATATTTTACACACATCATGCCACTTCTCCCTACTCAGCACATAAGCATCATACTAAGAAAAGATGAAACAGAGTAAGGTATGAATAAAAATTAGGTTGCAGGGAAAAGCATAAAAGGCTCAGAAGACTTGGAGAACAGCCTAAAGCTAAGAGGATAAAGGAGTAATAATACACCATAAGCATAACATCAACAACACCAGCAATCAACGAGAAGCTAAGATCGATGATACCATTATAGCTTTTAACTAAGAATATAAAATAATAGGCTAATACACTGCTAGAGTAAAGAAAATGAGCTAATAATCTAAGTCAGGCAGCATGCTTTCTTGGCGCGAGTTGCGCTATGCTGGTGCCAAGAAGTCTGGGGTTGGGAATGAAATTAAAATGACACTCCTTGAAAACTGTCATTTCATCAAGGGCAAACAGTGGGTAAAATAGTATGGTTGGCCATGATTGAAATAATATCAAAGGGTAAAACAGTCTTTTTAACTATCCAATTGTATTACTAATTTAGAGATAGAATCTAACAGTTAAACAGACTACGCAAGCTCCTTGGGTGAACTTTCCTGTTTGGTGGGGGAAACGTTCCTTTCCATCAAGTAAAAAAAGTGTCTAGATATTAAGCTTAGACTTCATGCAAAAATGTTAGATGAAAGGAATCCCACCTTGGTTAAGTTTTATATGCTGCTAAACTTCCCCCAGTCTCATGCTACCCTTTTGTTCTATTGTTCTCAGGTTTTCTGCTGCCAAAATAACACATTTTAATCTGACTTTTATGCTGCAGCCATTACTGGGAGACCAATAACTGACTTTTCATATTACACAGATGTTCAATTTGCCATCTCAGACACAATCACTGGTGTATGGAGCCCTGCATTCTGACCTCTGCACAGCGCTCCCAAAGGCAGAAGCCACTGATGTATGCCTAGAACATTGCCCGCTTGTATCTCCTCTTACGGAGTCTGAATTACAGCACCATAGAAAATCATGTGTTTACACAGTCATTTTTCTTCAATTGAACTTTTCATAAATTTAGCATCCATGAAAGCTGCTGGATTAATAAAGGTATTAAAATAATGAAATGCACTGAATATGTACTGTACAAAGAGGACCTACACAGATTTCTCTACAGTTCTTTAATATGATCCAAACAGATTACGTATGAAGAGAACAACGAAGTTCACAGCATCAGCTTTAATGGTAGATTTTGCAAGCACACAACCCCTTCTGAATCAGGATGAGAGATGTGCATTTTACATTGATCTGCTGATCAGGGCATAACCAGTAACTGACAGTTACATTTTCAGTCAGCTAGCAGTTCTCTAAAATCATCCAGTTCTCCACATCATGACACTTACACTTTTATTTCAACAACCTTGAAGCATATATTTATTAAGAGAAGACTGTGCAAGGTTAAAATCTCTCATGTTTTGCATAGACTCTCCATTCTCCCAGGTCTTAAACAATTTTCTACAGCAGCCAAATGCTATTGAAATTGTACGTTTAAATCGAACTCTGATGATGAGGTCTTCAAGAAACAGAAGTATGAAAAGATGGAATATAACAAAAAAAAATGCTGAACTAAATTGACTGCAGCCCTCCTTTTAAAAAATTGTTTAACCCTACTGAGGTTACCTGGGCATTGTTTTCCCAAACACTATCGTGTACTTTCTGCAGGTATACTGAAAATCAAACTCAGAAGAGGTTGTGCAGATTCACTTCAAGTATATAAAAAGAAGTCATCAATAAACTGTTCCAATACTTACCCCTGTAAAATAACTGTAAAAGAAAACCTAAAAATGTAATAATAAAAAAATGTTATGGTCCAATTCTTCTAACATACAATGATATTTTCCAGTTTTAGTACCTTTGCCAATATTCCTTGGAGGTAGAGGAGGTGCACTACTTGTAACAGGTACTGCAGGCTGAATGGGAGGTGGACTGCCACTGAGTATTGCTCCATATGTTTCATTCTGTAATATACTTGGCATAAATCCTCTTTGCTTATCCTTAGCAATGTTCGCTGCATCTCTTGCCAAAGATGCTACATTAGGCTGAAGCTGGTTTGATCCAAGTTGATAGAAGCTGACAGGCCTGTCCTCTCTCCGATTGGGACTGGGTTGCTTAAAGACAGTAACAAAAGTACTCACTGATACCACATTAGTTGTACTCATTTTATTTATTAGTTGATAGAAAGTTATTAGTTTCTAGAAAGAAAATATGGCTTCTAAAATGCATTTTTGTTGCTTTTAATACATAATGTAAAACCTACGTTCCGCCCTCTTCAAGACAAGGCAACTGTGCACATTAACAAAAAAAAAGATTAAATGTGAACTGCATTTCAAAACAATTATAATTTTCTCATTTTCTCCTGTAGTATACTCCTGTAGGATAATACCTGTATCCTTATATACACAGGACTATACTCCTATTGATAGTCGATATAGATATTCAGACTGGATCAAGTAAAGTTTCCCTGCATCAAAATACCAGGCAATATTTTCAAAAGTAAATAAACAACTGAAGATCCTAAGCCTCATCTGAAGTTCAGCAGCATTAGATCCCGAATAGATGATCATGATCTCAAAAACTAGGCACAACTGCATCTAAGCATTCTACCTGTAGCTCAACCTACAACAAATTAGGAGCCAAAACTTCTCAGGAACTCTTTTTAGCTCATCAATATTGCTGGACAAGTTCAGGAGATTATTTCAATTGGCCGTTGGGATGGAACATTGTTCATCCCATGCACATTATCAAATGAGATCTAATTAATTGCCTTTGAGATTTACAGCAAGTCATCTGCTTGCTATGCACACTGAGCATTACTTTTCCTGTTTCAACAGCAAGCATAGTAATTATTGTTACCAATGATAATTAAAATAGCTGGAGTTATAAATTCATGTGGCTAGTACAGGAATGGGTTATAACAATCCAGAGCTCAGAGAGCATAAATATGCATTTAGAAATAGTGTTAGATGAACATGTTGCTGATGTACTGTCTGTATGAAATTAAAATAACCATTTATAATAATAGCATTTAGGCAGAATAAAGATTTACACCAACAGTATCACAAACAAGCAATCGATTTTCCTCTGAATACATTCAGTGCTTACTCTGGATTGATCATGTAGGGCCTTTAGACATGTTATAGCACAGCATTATAGTTCAAAGATCTATCAGAATGATGTACGTGACAGCCATACGCATTAATCCCTACTTTTACTTTGGCTTAGCAGCCTCACTCCTCACTGGCTGACACTCTCCATTCCCTGACTTCTCCACTGTCCTGGTTCTGGTATTTGTTTCAGCCCACACTTGCTTCTGCTTTCTAAACCAGCAGAAAATTCTTTTTTGTTTTGTTGATTTAGCTTTTCACTGGTTCACCAAACTGAAACAGCTCAATACAGGGACAAATGTGTGCCAGTATGGAGGCGAAAGACGAGGTAGGACCAGGCAGCTGGGGTGTGGAACAGCAGCAGAAACTAGTTGGATTGTCTTAGCCTTCTTTCAGGTTAGACTCTCTTTTATATGAAAAATTCTGGACTAAAAGAACTTCAATATCAGACATGACCTTTTCTGACAAAGATTATAAAATCTATTCAATCGCTTTATGAGAGAGAGAGACAAGCCCAATAGCCTGACATCTATAAACAGAACTCTGATGTGATCCTAAGCAACAGCAGTATTCACCAGTGCATTCAATGTAGTCACAGACACTAGCCTGTGATTAATAGTCCTTAATCTCCCTTCAAAAGTCCCTGTAGTATAAGCCTATTAATAGTGGGCAGTGAAGTAGCAGTTTCATTACTTTAGCCTCATTGCTGAGTAGCAGGTAACTTCCTATATGAGACGGAGCTCAGGGACTAGCCAAAAAGAGAACGCTCAACTGCAGAAGGCAACTGGCAACGACGAAGGAAGTGAGGGAAAAAACAGATCAAAAATATAAATTTAGAGTGTCCCAGAAAGGGATTTGCTAGATATCTAGCTGTAAAGTACCCAAGAGGTTTTACAGCTTGAAAAAAATTAAAAAACATAACAGAAAGTTTCAAGTTGCTTTATCACAAAGGTCATAATTACTGCTGTTACTATCTGGGTGGTGATAAAATATATAGGAATACATAAATTAGTCTCCAAAATGTTAAGCCAATTCAATGGTCTGATGGCCTAGCATTTTTAAAGATATTCTGTGAAGGCAAAGAAAATGAACCTATGACCGTCAGGTTTTAATATTTCTGAAAACAAAGAAAAACCCAACACACAAGATTTTGTTTTACATTACTAATGAAGTATTAGCAATTCACACCCTAGCTGAGATGGGGGACTTTGCAAGAGAAATATTAAAATGCTAGAACTTGTAGAAAGAAAAAAGTCAAATTTCATTATCCAGAGGAGAAAGGGTTTTTTGTTAGCTACTTTCAAGAGAAAAAAAGGTTGTGCTAACATCTGAAGATTAACTAATATAAAGCCTATTGTGTATTTCTTTTACTTTATAAAGGAAGCAGAAAAGGCATAAGCAGTTATAACACCACACACACAAAAAGAACAAAAACGTGTTCAATACTTATATGGAATACTTCAAATTATGAAAGTTTCAATGTCATTAGTATTTAAGAGCCTATACATCATTTCAAATTACTTGGCCCCTAGAAATCCAAGCCATTTTTAAGTGCTGTTCAGGTATCAAAACATGGTAATTTGCTCCCTGTCTGTATGTTCAGGTGCTTAAATACTTTTTGAAGTTCGTCTCCAAATGGGGAAATTAAATTTTGAAAATGCAATGAAGTTCCTATGCTACTGGAATACTTTGTAATACTTGTAATATGACCATCCTTGGAGATATTCAAAAGCCATCTGGACATGGTCCTGGGCAACTGGCTCTAGGTGACCCTGCTTTAGCAGGGGATTAGACCAGATGACCTGTGGAGGTCCCTTCCAACCCCAACTATTCTGTGATTCTGGACCCAATAGCACCACACCACCACTAGAAATTTCAGGTATGAAAAGGGAGAAAACCAAAAATATTTTTACATGAAGATTCAGAATTAAGGCCCTACTCTGCTATTAACGGAGATGGCTTATTTAATGGACAAGTTTAGTTCCACTGAAGACAAGCCAATGCACAAACTGTTCCAAAATTAAAGCCATCAGCTGGAGCTGTTTCACAAACGTGAGGAGATACTATAAGGTGCCTCTCTTTGTAAAGGCAATTTTCCTAGCTCATGTTAGTTCTGCTTCACAATCAGCAGATTTAAATATTCTTGATGTATTGAAACAAACTATTGACTCCATTAAGAAAAAGATACTACATCTGGCTAATTGTAATTTGATCACCACCACACAGTCATATGTTTTATACCTTATATTAAAGAGAAAAAGAAAACCAACTATAATTTAAGGAACTAAAATTTAAGGTACTACATTTTAATATAGCACTTTATTTCACAATGTCTTCATACTTACAGTAGAAAGTAGTGTTATTGAAATCATTATGAACACCATGCTTAAACAGATACGTGTACAGAAAAATAATAATGTATCGATACAAACCTGCAGCTTTTCATCCACGTCATCATCACTTTCATCCAGATCTTCATGGAGTAACCGCCATTCATATTCTACATGAACGTGAGAATTAAATCTTCCGGACAGTGCTTGAGTAAGCTAAGGAAAAAAGATGACTGTTGACACCTATGTTATGTGCAGTACTTACTTTAAAACAACATATTCAAAACCAAACAAAAACCACATATAGAAGAAACCGTGGCTTCTAAGTACAAATATTACTTTTATTTTAAAAACAGATTTCAGTAATCTGGAAAGTTACTGCACTGGGGTAAATTTAAAGAATTAAGCTCTGTGACCAAACACAACACAAATAAATCAAAAGCAACTAGGCTTTCCATTAACCATTGTAGGTCCGTTCTCCATTTTCTGACAATAAGCACCACATCCTATTTACTTTGATTTAGAAACGGCAAGTCAAAGAAGCCTCGACCCCACTAATCTATTTTTCTTGCTTACTAAAAGTAGTGATGGTAGCCAACTTCTCTTCATAGAATCACAGAATGGTTTGGATTGGAATGGACCTTTAAAGACCATCTAGTCCACCCCCCCGCCATGGGCAGGGACATCTTTCACTAGATCAGGTTGCTCAAAGTCCTGTCCAACCTGACACTGAACACTTCCAATGATGGGGCAGCCACAGCTTCCCTGGGCAACAAGAGAATGGCCTTTATCCATGGCCTTCACCCATAAAAAGTACTTCAGTGATTAGATTTCGACGGGATGTCAGACACTTGTGGATCTGGGACTAATAGATCAAACAGAATCATCCCCTGTCCCCAAGAAGTTTAGCATTTCCAAATAATCTAAAAAGAAATATAATTTTCTTCCTAAAAGCATATAATTTGATATACGCATATAATTATTTCTAAGCATACAACTATTCCGTCTGGAATTTATTTGTTGAATATTCAACTGTAAACTGTTAAATATTCAGACATGATTCTGCTTACAAATGCACAAACACATAGAAAGACGCAGCACTTACCAGCTCTTCACAGTGAGTATGTTTTAGGCGTTTAGCTATATCAAGTGGCGTCTCTCCCGATTCATTAGCTATATTACAGCAAGAAAAGAAAGTTACGATGATAGGCGTCACTATTAACATGTCCATTACTAAAGATAAAGACAAACCTGCAGGTACACAGTGAAGTACTAGACCAACACACTCTAAAATTAATCTCTTTCCTTCATATGCAGCTCCATCTCACACCAACCCTCTGAACATGACAAGCAGTAGCAACTCAACATACCATATATATGGAATGAAAGCCATGAAATGGCAGTATAAAACTCAGCAACAAGGTATCAGTTGAAAATCTTGGTACTTATCTAAATTTGTTTAAAAAGCAAGTGTAATGTATAAGTCAATTTTAAACTTGAAATAAACAGTGAATTTTGATTTTTTAATAATGAAGATTATAGTCACAGAATTATGATAAACAATTGGGGGGGAAATGCACTTATTCCACCTTCACTGTTTCTTATCTGAAGCAGTGACAAATATGAAATTGAAGTACACATTACCCTTTTACCTATTTCAATAGAAGCCTTCCCTCTCAGCAGCAGTTTGAGGCACTCAACGTTGTCCGTCAGACAGCAGTAATGCAGGGCTGTGCTACCTTTACATGTTTGCTTATCTAGATTGCCACTATTGGAGCACAAGAAAGAAGAAGAAAGCTGATTAAACTTAGTTTCCTACCCTATATTAACAAACCTCTCTCATGACAAGATTTTCAAAGAATAAAATTAAATTTCCAAATACTAGAATTAGTTTTAGTGTTTGTATTCATTACGTATTTGTATTACTTGACATAAAAGCAGTACCAATAACACTTTAATAGCTTTCCATACACTTACCTGTTCTGCACTAAAAAGTCAACTATATGAAGGGATGTTCGATCAACTGACCTAACAGCAAGGTGAAGCGCTGTTTCATCTTGCTCCTAAGAATAAAATAAAAGAACAGATTTGTTTCTTCTGATCTACAGAGAAGCAGAAATTTTATCAAGACATGAATTAGATCAATTAAAACATTTAATTTCAAAATACTCAGACATGCTACCATCAAAACTTCTCTTGTGAAGACTTTTATTGCTTCCCTTTTGTTCCTTTAAAGTAAACAAATAAATCGGTTGAAAACAAATAGATTATTGAATGATTTAATGTTTAATGTGTTAATACATTTAAAATGTGATAGTATTTGGAAACAATTTTAGATTAAGCTATTTAATAACCTCTCTTGTTATTGTTAAATTACATCATCAAAAGGACAAGTGTTCAGAACAGTGTTTCAAATCTTATTTTCAAATAAGAAAAAAATAGTCCTTTTTAATTAATGAAAGCATATTGCATTCAACAATTTGCCTAATAAAATTTACAACACTTACATGACCATTGGCCAGTGGAATTTTTTCTGTGAGATCCACACCGTCAGCATATACTTGGACTAGTCCAAGAATGTCTCTTGATTTCACTGCTTCACAAAGAGCATGTAATTTAGCTGCATTGTCAGCATGCTTTTTCCTTGCATATTTTCTCTCAATATACTTGGCAGTAATATAATCTTTTCTTGCATTCCTGAAATTGAATATAATTTACTTCTATAGCTTTTAGCAGAAGATACACATTAGAATTTCCATAAATACATGCAAGTCATTTGAAATAAAATCTGGGAAAGACTATTTCTCATTCATTATGATAATTTTTCTTTTTAAATATGCATGCAAGACATGCAGTCTTGTATTTCCAGTATGAAATGTAGCTGCAGAAGATGAATCAAATATCCAATATGAAGACAAACCATGAATTTTCCTCTCTGAACTCTGGTGTGAAGTTGAGATCAAGATTACCCAGCTCTATGTACCGAAGATACATCAAAGCTTCATAATGCTGGTTTGCCAGCAGCAGCCTGGCAGGTTTACGTTTACCTGACTTGTACTCCTACACATGCTGGAAAGGGATGGAAGGCATGGGACAGAAAAATCTGTCTTATACCTCTGCGCAGACTATCCAGGCCTTGGATCTGCATTCACAGCAGTGAGTATGTTCTGTAAAGCAACTCTTCACCACAACCGTAACAGTGAGTTTTTAGTTTTGCCTCTAAACTGAGGTGAAAACTTAGTACACTTGAATCAGCACATGAGTTATCACTTTTGCTGTTGATACCCAACTCACAAATCACTACTCCTCTTCCCATCACAGCAAGACAGGTGCTTGCATGTCTCCCAAAGGCATAACTCCTTACCAGCTCTTGGGATGTACACAACATTGCACTGAAGGCGTTTAGCAAAGCCATACTTTATCACCTAGATACTATATAATGGGCAAAAAGAAAAAAATCCAAATAATAATAAATTGAATCAATGGGTAGCTCTTGTTCCTAAAGCATATGACAGTATTCCTTCATAGTTTTTAAAAAAAGTGTTTGTCTTCAGGTTCTCATTTCATTAAAAAAACCCAAATTTGATATGTAGATGTATCAAATGAAATGATTGTTTTAAAATATCATTTTTAGAAGTCTTCTTATGCTATTGATTTAGCATTCAGTAAAATTATTAGTAATTTAAATTAGTAATATTAATATTCTGTATTATTACTGAAAGTGGAGGTCAAAAATCATTTAAACTGCATGGTTTAACATTGATTCTGTCAGAATGGTGAAAGTCCAGATAATATAAAATCAGCTTCATTCAAAGCCAGTTCTTCTGGGTTTGTTTCTGTATCATTTACTAGCTCTTTTACGATGAAGTAGTATCCAGCCAAGTAGGCAGCTGTCCTTGTTGTGTCTCTGCCATCGCAGTTCAGTGCTTTCGAGGAATTCAATTGAATGTTCTGTCTTTACTCCACAGTTATGGACTTAAGTCCTAGGTATAGTTTCTAAACACTAGGTGTTCAGTATCTTTCAGGTAAAATGCGTACCTTATTCCAATTTCTATTTTGTGTTTAAATAGCACAAAATTAACAGCTTTGTTTTTAACCTCTACCCTTGCGTGTCTTTAAAATTCCCAGCAAGTCATGTTTAATTTGTTTCTGTCCCACAAATCATGATTCAGAGAGTTGGTAAAATAATCCTTATTATTAGGGAAGGTACAATCAGATAAAGTTCAATAAAATAGAGAGGCAAAGCATCAGAAAAAAGGTTTACTCCATGGCTATAAGACTATATATATGACACTACGCATCTTCCATGGCCTGCTGGTGCAAGCCATTAGCAATATTAAATGCTTGCCTTTTTCAGAAGTAGTGGCTCTTTACTTACATATCGCTGCTTGGATTAGGTTTGACCATCTCATCAACTGGCAGACAGAATTCCATAATCTCATTAAACCCAGCATTCCCAATATTCTTTGCAAGCTGTTAAAAAAAAAATCCACAGCTCACTTAATAAACATGTTCAGGCCACGCACATACTAGTGGGAGGACAAGGGAAAAAGGGAGTTGGGACTTCTTGCTTCTGATTCTTAGTTCTGCTACTATGTCAGTGATCATGAACAGATTAGGCACCTTTTTGGATGTCAGTTTTCAGCTGCAATTTAATACACAAACAAGTAACTGCAGAATAATCCATCAAGAAACCAGTTCATACAATAAATGCAAAATACTTTGTGCTGTGAGCTGTGAACATATGAACTGTCACAGAGGAGCTGATATGTGGTAATGTCTTTGTGTAGCAAAGCTGAATAAATTTTCTTCCTTTGAGGATTAAAGTTCCCTTCTAAAATAATGCTAAATAATTAATGGGATAAGTATTTGTGAAGTCCTTCAATTTTTAATCTGAGGCACATTTATATGTCAAACAGCTGTGTTCTTCTGAAAAGCAACCAAGGGTAAAAAGACTTGGAAACACCAAAAATACGAAGCCTCTACTAATTTGAATTCTAAGATCAGGCAAAGTTTACGGTAAGACACTATGTTCCAGGAGGTTCCCTTAAACTTGAAGAATTAAGCTTTCTTAAATTATGTTTATCCAGAGGCAACTTTCAAGATTGGCAATACACATTGTTGAATGGAAAAACATACAATTCTGTTGGAAGTATTTTATAGTACTATTTTTAAGTTAATAAAAGCAATTTGATTACCAAAAGTTCAGATGTTCCCAGCACATCTAATGTAAGTGATTGCATTCTGGAATAGTGAACACCAAGTTCTCTATGGATTCCTGAGCATTCAATGCAAGTTAGAATTCCCAAATTTGTTGAAAGCCAGGTAGGATCTGAAACAGAAAGCACCCACAGAATTAAAATTTATTCAGGTAATTATTTCATTCTAGAAAACACAGTATACAGAAATGACACTCTGTAAAATAAGGCTCCTGTATGTGAATTATCAGGTTTTTTAATTTATGTCTTTACATTTACTCTACTGGGAAACACAAACCAGGATTTTTTTAATGGCGAAAGAAGTGAAGATGCAATTTTATTTTTTTTTTAATAAAGGACATCGCCCTCCAAGGGAGCTGCTCAAACAGTCCAGTTTGTCATGCTCCACATGGCTTTCAGGAACTGCATTTTTCCACCACCAATATAATGGTGTCACTTTCTTGACTAGGGGGTATAGGTGCAGTTCAAATTGAAATAACAATGCCTACACATTTGTTTTTTCTTTATTTCAAGTATAGACTTCAGACTAAGTGAAGCAGCAGTGATTCTGAAGTATACATACAGCACCACACTACAACGGATTCTCACTCAACTTTTTCAAAGATACTAAGGCTCATCCCTCTCCTTCGTTACCCTTGCTTGTCTTTTCTCCTGGTATTTTGCATTCTTGCTATAATATTCCCTCATCTTCCAGACAAATAATTAAATTTCTGAATATTTAGACAGCTTAGAAATTATTTTATTTGATAAAGGTTTGGTAGTAGCTATTTAGAATCTTCTCCCTTAAAGACAGCAAGATTGACTCTTCCCATAATTTTATACAGTATCTATTGCTGGAAGTTACTATTGATTTATAAAGTGCATACAGCTTCAGATCTGATGTTTTCAGCTACAGTTTCAGATTAGAAAAAGCTAAGTCCTGCAGTGCCTCTGTAACATGAAAGAACACAAGAAACAGCAGGATTTAAAAAATAATTTGAAGAGGATTAAAGTAGAAAATCATTGATCAACAAAACCAATGCTGCAAACCATAGTCAGCAGGTGCATTCTTTTCCAAATGAGCACAGTCTTAGACATATTCCCTGGCTCACCCTCAAAGTAAAACATAAAAAGTTTAAAAAAAAAAAAAAAAAAAGCGCTGTATTAGAAAAGTGCTTGAAGTATCTTACTGCTGTCCAGTTCAGTTTTACCTAAACCTTATGTAAAATATGGGCTAATAAAATAAGTTCAAGTGATTTATGTAAGCAAAAGTTAGAATTAGCAAAATACATGGGAGAAAAATAAGCTTCTTTGGAACTTTTCTCCCCACCGACGATATGCATATAGCAAATCAATCTTACTAAAGTAGTGCAATTAAATTGTTAGCATATTCTACTATGTGTATAACCTTTGTGAGATAAGGAGTAAAAGTGAAAGCATAAAACATCAGCTTAAATACTCTCATGAGACACAGAATTTTTACCAATTAGAAATATGCTTAATTGAGTCACCTTGTGCTCCACAGTCACAACACACATCATTTCCAGTCATCCTCTGGACTTCAGATATAATTTCTTTTGTCAGTTCCTGGACAATATTATTTTCTCCTGTGTTATCATCTCCTTTGAATGCATTATTTAAAGCTTCCTCTTTGCTGTTTTGTAGAACAGATGTCCATCTAAAATGGCAGTAATATTTTGCTATTAAATGTTGCGGCACTTCCAAAGTTCAAGGTAATTTCTTAGTATAACACCACTATCAGAAATAAAATTAGCAAAGTAACTCACATTTGACATTCCTGTTCATCCTCTGCTTGAAAGTGGTACGTCCTGTCATCTGCATAATAAATAATTCACATACTGATTAAAAAAAATGATTGAAAAACTGATTTTGCAGAAATCTCTCATAAAAATCTAAAATTAATTGATGTATGACTCCTGAGGTCTCTAGTGTCATCACTGGAGTGTTGAGGGCAAAAAGTCTATTTAGCAAGTTTCACTCATGCAAACTACAGTTCATCTATGTTTATACCTATGTTTACACAAGGTGGTTTGTTGCTCTTCAAACAGAAACTGTTTTCTTCAGTGCTGTGCTTCTATCACAGAAGCAGCAGGAGAGCACAGTAATTTTTCCATGTTCTAGACATAACCTCAGTAATCACAAGTCTAAAGTTCTGCTGAGGGTGGTGGTGTGTGTGACTAAAATATGGACCCATATTTGAGTTTATCTGTGTATATAAGAAAGATTTAAAGTTTCCAAATGAGCCCTTAAAACCACAGTAATCAAAACTGACAAAACAAATTTGACAGAGACAAAGGCCAAACTACCATCAGGATAAGCCCCAAGCTGTTTCAATTAAATCAAGCTAAAAATTTTCTGTTTATTACTACTTTTGTAATTCTAAGCATTGTTATCATAGTGTACTATCAAAGAAAAAAGCATAATACATTTTAAGTCTATGAAACAAATGAGATATGATAGAGTTTGGTGATTGAGTTGGAGTTAAAATTAGTATAGTTGATGGTAAACAGAACAGAGGTAAAGCTACTGGCAAAAAGATATTCTAGGTTGAAAATTCCTAAAGTTTGAAAAATATTGAGGCAAAAGGTAGTAAAAGATAGTTTCAAACATGGACAATGTTAAGAAAGTGAGGATACATGAAAGGACAGAAAGGAAAGTGCTAGATAAAGAATAACTGATTTTATCTTGCCATGATACAGCAATTTGGAGTTTTTAAATAACAAGGAATGTTTTTAAACTCTATAGTAAAACAAAATGAAAAAGTGATCTGGAGAAGGCTAAGCAGCCAGTTATGCCTTGTCATATGTATGATGGGACAAATGATAATGCTGTGATAAGTGGATATTGGGCAAAATGTGACATGGTAATCAACAAAGAAAGAAAGTGCAAAAGTAAACAGGGAAGACCACTTGCTTCTGCAGAAATGGAAAAGCTGTATATTGCATACGTACTAGTCTATTAATGTAAGTAGCATATCTTACATTTACAAATAGAAAAGAACTTTATACTCTGACAAAGGAACAAATGAGGAATAGATTTACATTCTTCTCCCCAAATAATTTGAGATATATATTTTAGTATTTTAGTAATGTATTTTTACTGAGCCCATAAATAGAATACTAAAATGTCCCAGTGAGAAAACAAAGGAAACATTCTACTATACAATTTTGTATCATTCCATTCAGTTCCCAAAATTATTCAGTTTTGGTGTTTTTAATATGTAGACGCTTTATCTCACCTTTATATCTACCTGAGATAACAAAACTAAAAAAAGTTTTGAGTATTTTCTTCACAGTTACATAGCAACCACTTAAATTTTAAGAAGTTTTGTCATGTTTCAAAAGCTGCTTCTGATCTTGTACAAAAGTTGTAACTTTCCAAGATGAGCACCTATGACATTTTCAATATAAAGAGTGATGTCACAGCAGAAATATTGTTATTCTATTGTAAGGCAGCACAAAATTATATAGAATGAAGGAGTAAAGATAGCTTTAAAAACAAGTGGTTTTCCAAAGAAACACGTACAGTTAGTTGCATTATGCTAAAATAAGTAAAATGGTAAATTGTCATGGGAAGGGCATTTTATAAAGGGACGCATTTTACAATTGCAAAAAATGTTTAAGTGGATTATTGACACATCTACAGAAATAATGCAAAACCCTTTGATATTAGCTGCAAGTAAAAAGACCTAAACAACAAACCTACGTGATATGAGGTCAAAACATTTTTTCTCCTCTGGGTTTGTTTTCACTTGGCAGGTTAACAGATTGAGCTTTGCTGGAGGTCGGTTAGCCTATTTGAAGATAAAGCATACACATTTTAGTATATTGATACTGACTGAGCCCTGCAGTCCAAAAACATAGGATAACATCCCACTGGCAAAAGACCTGACAAACAGCTGTTACTTAATTTTTAATGGACCCAGGTTTTGATTTATGTTTTCTTCTCCATAATGGTTTGTAAATTTGTACATTTCCTTATATTTGGCTATTTTGTTCACTGATAACTGTATAGACCCTAGACTTTTGAAAGGGGAGAGGGGTAAAATCACTTTAATTATCACTACTCTGATCACCTTACCATTAACACTTATCTGAAGGAATCAGGTATGACAGAGACAGATTAATTTTACCTAAGTTTAATCATCTAACATTTAGAAATTTAGTTTAAAAAAATTAGTTATCCAGGTTTTCAATAATCAAATAATTTGAAGAATAATAATAATAAAGAAATTTGCACAGAGAAGTATTGCAACAAACATATGCAAAACTAAACTGAGATAGTTCATTACCAAAAAATGTAGTGAAACAAAATATATTCTATAATGAATATTCTCTAATATAAATGGCAATGTTTTACTAAAAGCAAAATGCACACGCAAACTTCATTTTGAAAAAGTCTCATAAAGGCTACAAAGACTTTTCAAATAGCACCTCTGCGCTAATCTCTTCTTTCCCTTAACCCACCTGTCCTACAGACCTGGGGTAGGAGGTAGTAAGATGTTATGTTCGCAACCTTGACTTAAGGAATGGCTTGCACTTGCTACAATGGATAACTAGTTTCACTCTTCTTCTAGAATAATTAATTCAGAATGCAGATTTAACTAGAGAGGCTCTGCTCTAGACAATATAATGCGAAAAATAATAATTTAAATCATTAGGAAAGTACTATTATAAAGATAGCAATATATATAAACACATTACCATGCTTATTGCTGCGTTCTAACAATTTTAATCTATCAAGTTGCTAAAACAAGATTTAATCATCTAAGCAAGAACTATTATCAAATGAAGCTGAACTACCACATAATGTAATTAACTTGTAATGAATCATAAGAAACATACATCTTCTCAATCTCTTCTAAATTTATTGATGAAAACATTTCATTCAAAAAAGAAGGGAGAACAAGTCTGAAGAGTACAGATTTCCTTGAAATAATCTGATAAAACGATGTAGCTGGCCAAAAAAAGAACAACATCATCATTATGTCTGAAGACCAGTAAAAAATTAAAACCATGGAGAAACATAAGAAGGGAAACAATTATGTGTTTTTTTCCTGTTTTAAAAAAAAGAAAAAAGAAAAAAAAGAAAAAAGAATCACAGTGTCCTTGAAAAACAGCATGCTCATGCTTTGCCCAACATAAGTAACAGCCATAACAAAGCCATGCATGCTTTGAAACAACAAACCTGCAGGTCACTTGTTGGGCAATGTAAAACAAATTGTACCCAAGAGAGGTTTTAGAGGCAGTAAGATGACAATTAATTGACAACCACATTGTATTCTCTGCCTAGTAAATAGCTTTTCAAATTCCAGACATTCCTTTTAGTAGCAAAAGCGCATAGAGTTTTCATTATTTTAGCCTATCAACAACAAGATTTCTTTGTAACTAGAAGCATATGAGAAAACATGTTGAAAATGCCAGCTTGGGCCCATTTTCTTGGTTATATTTAAATATATTTAATATCCGTAGCACTAAAGTTTCCAGTGTTTACATTTTTAATGTAACTGTTTGTCCAAGAAGCGTGCAGAAGCTGCCTATAATGAAAATACAAAATAAAGCAAAAAAAAAAATCAAAATATAAGTATTTGGTAAACAAGCCACTGGGCAACTCATAGCTACCTTTCTCACAGGGTCTACGAGAATGTAAAATTGCAAGTAAATTCAGGTTAAGAAAGAATCCACTTGCCTCGGGACTTTGGATGTGAAGTGCATTCAGGACCTAACTAGTTTTCTATAACTTATGAAATATGAAGTTGTAAATGGATCTAAAAATCACTAAAATGCTTCAGAGAGGTCTGAAGGACCAATATACACAGAACTCATCTCTCTGGATAGGAGAATGCAGCGTAAGAACTCCGTATCAGGATCTGAGAACCCAAAGAAAGGGCTGCAACAACCTAAAACACATCCTGGGCCCATGTGCTGATCTTGGAATCCAAACGTATTCCAAAGGTTTTAACTGAGGATCTCCTAACCAGAAGTCAGGATTGACAAGGGTATTAAAAAACCCTGACATCTTCGCATGCGGCTGATACCACCACATTCATGCTTTTATCCTGTGGCCGAATATCAGCCTCTCCCCACCTGCCTCCCCGACAGGTGCCCGTTACCTGGCGGACAACACACTTCCTTCACACAGCAGATGCTGCCTGGGGACAACTTAGAGCCTCAAGACAAAGGGAGGCAAGGCTATATAAATTCCTTAGCCACACTAGGCTATAGGTTGAACCAGACCTTTGGCAAGATTAGGAGACACTAGAAGTAGAAAATGGTAACAAACACGTAACTGCTATTACACTATTTGTTTGAAACCCCTGGGTTTCATTTTCCTGCTTGAGTCTCTGATTAGACAATTAAATTTCAGACTACTAGGGAACTTTTGGACATCCATCCAACACCCTGAAAAGATGTGCTGCCACCTCTCATGCCGTACATGCAGACTTCATCATCAACTTATGTTCCTTCCTGGAGAAACTTTAACCCTCCATCCACCAAAACTGACTTCTTGTACGTTCTGGCAACAAACAGTAAGTGTAGGCATCAAAAGGTTAGGCCTCCAAGACAACACCGAGGAGTGCCATGATACAGAGCTGATTTTTACAAAAGGCATGAGCAAATGTGTCCACTTACTTAACAGACTGGTTGGTTGATTTCATCGTGCATTTTTTTTTTTTATATCACAGTGATTTACTTAAGAATCAAAAGATTAAATCTGAGTCTTTTGCCTTCAGATTGCCTTGTCAATCATAACAGTAGATTTAAGTTTCCAGCAGTAAAAAGAACAACAAAAGAAGATTCCCTGATAATGAGTCTCTCTCATATTCCTTTTTTGCAGACAACCAGCAAATTCCGTTGAAGCTCTTTAAACACAAATCAACTTTGAGGAATCTCAGGTTCCTCAAATGTGAGTTTTTCCCTTGGGACTTCTTGATCTGGAAACCACTTAGGAATTCTTATTTACATGGTTCAATCTGCTTCTATTGTTTTTTTCATCCACGTACATTAAATTGCAGTCAGGTAGATGTCAGAAAATTTCCAACTGCTAATAATTACACAAAGGAGCGGTGTCTGTTTTTCCATCAACCGTTACCTTGCACGTTGCTCTATGAATGCTAATTTCTTTGAAGCTCTTCGTTGTCTAAAAGTGTAACTTCTGCACATATGCCAATGCAGACACATGTATTCAGCATTACAGCTGGGTGACTGACAGAGAACCAACCATATTCTCCCCATCCATATCAGGAGAGCACTTGGCAGGCGAGTTTAAGTCAGAATACAGCAACTGCAACTGCCTGAAGGTAGCTGTTCTAGAAACTAACTAAAAAGATAGTCCCTCATAAAGAGAGGCTACATGCCTGAAGAACAGAAATCCATGAAGAATACTTAGCCTTTAAAGGAAAAGCACTTACAAATTTGTATTTGATAAAGCAAACAAAACCGACAACTGAATTTCTGAGAGATGGTTCATTTTGATGAACAGCTGGGAAGAGAGAATGACACATCATATTTTGGAGACCAGGAGATATCAACCCTGAGAAAGCCTGGAAATCAATGCTGTTGCTTCAGAAGTCTCAGAAGACATTCAGAGCAGCCCAGAAAATTCTTAACAAACAGAAATCGCTTCTACCCATTTCAATGTCTATGAAACAAGCATTAATTTCTTACACAAAACTGCCATCAATACATAAGGCGAAAGCGAGCACATAAGTAAAAATATGTTTTAGGAGGGTATTTTAAAACAAGAAGGTACTCTTTTAATTTTGTGATGTAAAAAGATCAAAGCCAAACCTGTGAAACCAGCTCCACTGATTTCAGTGGGAACTTACTGCTTCTAAAAATGTTAGACCATCTGGTAGACAGCTTATAAAAAGACAACAACAACAGTATCTTGATAGACTCAGTAACTGTACTTGCATGTGAAAGTTTTAAAATTCTGCTCCACAAGTGGATTTTGTAGCCTCTGCCAGCTCTGAGCTGCCCTAGCTACACTCCTACTGGTACCACTACAGCATGTCCATCCAACAAAGATGCACTCATACGCACTCAAATGAGAACAGGGATAAACTGGCGGACAATTCCAAAGCCATAGTAATGACTCTACTTTGCAGGCCTGGTTTTGCGCTCCTCCTTAACTCCTGGTTGTCAATTCAGAAGGCAACAGCTTGTTGTTAGATGCACAAATGAGAGATTGATTCATTTTGCTGCCAGGGTCAACTTGTAGTCATAGCAACAGGCATAACAGGATGAAGAACAGAATGGTTCATAATGGGATCAAGAAACAGGACTGTTTATTAGACCAAGAATGGGAAATACTGTTACTGAGTTGATTTTTGCCTTAAGAAAGTTTCTTAAAAGTTTTGAGAAAGCAATATAAAAAGAGAAAAGTTATGGGAAAGCAAAACCAGCTGAATTCAAAGCCAAGTGTAAAAGGTCCAAAACATGAAAGTATAAAGTTTTGAAACTTTAAATATTAATATTTAAAGTTTGTTAATGTGTTTCAAATATTGGTAGCAAAGAAAGATGGACTTCTAACTCTCTATCTCTTGTCATTCTTGTAGAAGTTGCCTTCAGAGTTGATTTTCCCCAACAGCTACTCCCCAAGAAAGCTACCTTCATAACAGATGACCACACAGCAGCAAATCTGGGGGAGAGAATAGATTCAGCATTCTCTCAGTTTGTCTCGTAAATATAAAACCCCATATCTAAATGATGGCTTAACGCTCAACCATATATTTCAAAAAAAATGAAGTTGTAATTTGTATTTTTAGTCTGGTAAAATATGAATAGTTTACATGAACTAAACGAGCCATTAAAAAAGTCATTTTTTTCCATTAACAGTCACGAGCATTAAAACAGTTGTATTTTTAGATACTGTGTATATCTTGATATATTTCTGAAAGACTGCCTTAAAAAAAATGTATCCATCATATTCAAAACACTGCATCAGGAATCTAGCTAATTCCAAATTATAAATATAGACCAGCATAGCTTGCCTTTTTGTATTAGCAACCATGTACATAAAATACTGTAAACAAATACTTACTGTACCATGGGAAATTGTAAGAAAACCATTTTTAACTGAGCACTTCCTTTTCTGCCACACTTTTCTGATTCTGGTTTAAAGAGGAAGGAAAAAAAAAAAGTGACTCAGTTTTTTAAATATTTAATATTACATCGCCTCAGCTCTTAGGACCCAATTTTTCTTCAGTAGAATCCGTCAGTACTTACCCATCACTTTTCTTGTACAGACTACCATTTCGTTCAGTGCCATGTTCCTTGTTTCCCTGAGGCTGATGTAAACTGTAAGCTGTACTCTGACGAATCTGAGAATCCTGAAATATATAGAAGAGCAATTTGTAATGCATTTCACACTTTCAACCGAAATATCCCCCCTATTAATGAGATTCCTTTCCTTCCTGCTCTAATCCTACAGGCCAAATGAAGCACATTTTTCCTCCTCAATGAGACAGAACAAGATCCATTTCTTTTTTCAGAAGGCATAAAAAACACTTGAGAAGTAGCCATGATCAGCACCTGACAAAATCTTCTTACTTGCCTTTATTTAGCTTTACTATTAGCCTTAATATATGGGGTTTTTTAACCCAAAAATTAATTGAGCAGCAGGATTTCCAACTCATGCAAGCACTGCAGTGTACAAACACTAAAGATTATTATTACCCGCAATTCCTAGTGCACCCTTCCATTGTAGAAAAATTACATACATAAATTTGAAGAAGTGGTTTTCCTTGTGGAAACTGAGTCAAGTTATTCTCTGAAAAGCAGAAGAGACCTCCTGGAAACATAGTTCAGGGGACATACAGGAAAATTGAAAAGTTATTTCCACAAAAATAACTTAAACCAAAATATCTTGGACAAAGTAGAATTCTGGGACAGGAAGTGACAAGGATTAACTAAACCCTTCTCACTGCTCTCAGAACTACTCAGAGGCAGGACCCACTGCTGCAAGAGTCCAGCTTCTTAAAAAATAAGATCCTGATAATGAAGAATCTGATGCATTAGTGCATTCTGTATTAGCAGCAGTAACATGATGGGATGGACTTTTCAATGCATACAGTAACAATGACTTGTACTTATAGTATTTATTGTTTTCTTTTCTACTATCTTTGCTCTATGGACTTAATACACCTCTGTTACATATGGCAGATAATACAAGTATAGCGAGGAAAAAAAACCACAAAGAAAGCAGCTCACTTAAATGACTATCTATCTGAGCTATTCTAAGCAAAAACTTAAGAGCTATTAAGAAATAAACTTACTAATTTGATTAAAAATCTCTTGCTGAAAAGATGAGATAGTGTGTCTCAGATATACTAGGAGTAAAACAGCAAGATACATCATTTTGGATTTTCAGAGTGTACACATGATAAAATAAAACATACAGTGATCTAAAAAATATGAATTAAGAAGATGATAATTTCTCTCTAATTACAGTTAGCTTCACACACTTTACTAGCCTAAGTATAAGACATCTCTGGATATAAGCAGGGGAAAAAGACCAACTAAAACCAAGAACACACTCGGACTGTGCTTCTCCCCAGAGAATGCCAGCGCAGATGGAATGCTGCTCCTTTACAAGCTCCAGCAGCACATTCTGCTACCAAAGCTACTAATGCAGATAAAGCTGATCAGGATCCTCCTCAACAGTAGTGGCAATACATGACAGCTCTGAAATATGATGGTAGGGACAGAGCTACCGCCTACACCCCTGCTCAGTGCACTTAGGACTCCACATCTCCAGGCTACAGGATTTCAGGCTCATCCTGAATACAGTGCTGGAGCTCAGTGGTCCTGAGAACCATGAACCGAGCTCAAGGCAGGCTGCAGCACTCCTTGGTGCTCCTTTTCAGCAGAAGCAACCTGTGCCCACTTCCCTGTCTCTCAGCTAGTGATGTAGGAAGCCATGTCAGGTAGCTACAACATTCATCCGAGGCTTTTAAAGGTGCTACAAAACCACCACTTAAATGTCCATGCCTGACAAAGCATTCCTTCAGATTTAAACCAGTCTGTTTATCGTTCCTCTCCAGCCTGTTTACACAGAATTATTTGGGTTTGCACTCTGGCTGCCCAACATAATAACAGAACAACATTTAAAATGAATTCTTGTCACTGATTAAGAACCGCTGCACGCATACACTTACTGACTTCTGAAGAAAATCTGATCGCACGCTGCCCATTGTGTCCTACCAATGCCTTGATCTCTGCCTCCCATTAGTCAGTAAGGGAACTCCATTCCCAAGAAGATTAGAGGCCTTACAGGAAATTAATTTCAGTTCTCTACATCCTCAATCATGTAAAGATTTCAGATGACCTCCAACACCTGCCCACAGCATTATTGCCATTACTTAAGACTGTGCTGTTACTTTTTGTGGAATATTTTCTGTTGCATTTTGGCTACCTCCCTTCAGCTGTTGTTTACGCTCAGCTGCTGTGTTTGCCCAAACTGGCAAGCCAATAACACAAGCTTCCTGCCTTATTTCAACCAGAGAGGAAGCTGCTGTAGCTGACGTGTATTTCCACACATTCATTATTATGAACAGTATCTTTAAAAAATGTAATACTATTTCATGAAAGGGGGTTAAGGACAAGACAAGAAGATTTTTAATTTTAAATCCCCATTTCAGACCGTGTCCAACTCAATAGTGTCCAACGAGATTGCCAGATGATGGTTTTCCACAGCTCTCTGACAAGCAAGTTCATGATTTTGATCTAGCTCCTAACAGACGGGATGCCATACCACGTATCACCATCACAATTAACATCCTTCAATCAAAGGCAATTTCTGCATGCCTTTTCCATATGCAGGCTCTCCAAAGGACCTTCCCTTATTTCTGATTTGTATATTGCACATAACAGGAGTACAAATCACAGATAACAAGGTCAGACCCAATGGCCTCATCGGAGGAGCAGGAACAGTGTACATCACCTATGGGAGGAAATGGATCACCACAAGATATAGGACATACCTAGTGCAGAGTACTGTCATTTTAAATGCCTCTTGAACATAACAAGATCAGAACAGACTGAAGTACACAAGCCTAAGAAACTGAACTTTGTCCACTTTATCAGCTTTGAAATGCAGACAGGCATACAAAAAAAAGGTGAGTCATTTCATTGCAGCATGTTCATAGTGAATCACTTCACTGACCATAAAGAGGTTTGAAATGATTTCTTCCAAAGACCGACCGACTTCTAAATCAAGTTGAATAGCATAGCTAAAAATGAAAGAAATGTGAAAACAGTATTCTGCAAAGATGGTCTGCGACTACTGATAAGAGAGATTCTAAAAACCTATTTATCAGCCCCACTATTTGAACACAACAGAACTTTCCACACAAGGTGTTTTAACTCATACATGGCGAATTTTGGCTAGCCATTCCACAGCTCCCATGGACTGGATTTAAACTGTCTGGATCACTCCTGTGCGTAAAGCTGCCAAAAAGCCCTTACCTCTCCAAGAGCCTGAGCTTCTCTTGCAGGATCATTGCCAAGAAGATGTTTCAGAGATCCATCCCTTATCTATTACAGTCCCACAGAGCCTCCAACAGATGTATCTGCCAGAACCCCCTGCAGGCAGCCTCTCCTGTAGCACAGCTACCATGATTTTTGTCAAGAAACACAAAATATATCCTATTTTGCAGTGGCCTAAATAGATTATATGTTCTACCAAACACGTAGAAGCAGAAGCAAACCTAAACACTACAGTAAGACTTCCTTCAGCGAGGACATAGGAAAGAGAGAAATGAAGGCAATACGACTCTAAGGTTGACCCTGAAACTTGTAGGAGCTCTACAGTTCGAGAAATAAAAGTTTAAAAATTAAAAATTAAGGGGGTGTACACACAATGATGTTTCAAAAAAGTTTCAATACAAACCAGGTTTGAGGGAGTTCTGTGCAGGAGGAAACTATGTATACAGGCACAACAAAAAAGGTTCACTATGGGTGTTTGTGTCTTTTTTTTTAAACACAACAGAAACAATATTTTCAATGTTCTGTTAGTTCGTACTTGAAGTCCATTTTAATTAAAAATACATATATCTTCAAAATCTTGCAAGAACATAAAATCAAGCAACTGGATTTAATTCCCCAAAAAGAGTGAAAAGGAAATCACCAATTTGTCTTACAGCAATTTTCTTTCCCAAGAACAATATGATAAATTTTTTTTTTTTTTGGTAATACAACAAACAGACGAGGAGAAAAAAAGAACCAGTCTTTTCATACCAACAGAAAAAAGCTCAGAGGAAAAATCCAGTTTCTTGAAATCTGAATGGAAATCATGCCAACTATTTTCATTAAAACATAGTAACACTTACTCTCCTAGACTTCGGTCACAAAATGTAAATGCGTTTCAGGAAGGAAAAAGAAATCAGTTATAGAAAAGGAAATTACAGTGCAACAAGAATAATATTACTGGGTAAATTATACCAAGATTGTTTGGCATCCCACTGATTAATTGATGTTTTCAAAAAACTTTACAAATAATTATAGTACTTCTCATGCTCTGCAGGTAAGCATCTATATCTATATTTTCAGAATTAATAAATAATGAATATAGCATAAAGCACTTTTTACACTTGTATTTTTAAACTCAACAAAACCAGTACAAGTAATAAATTTATGTGTGTTATTATGTTTTTCAGTCTGTGAAAAGACGTGTGCTCACCACATCTTCCATATACATTTAATACCAGTATCACTGATAAACAGGTAAACACAGAGAAGCGACATTCCCAGCAACCATGAAACCCAACTGCTTCTATTATCTCTCTTGAACAAAGACTCAAATAAAATGGGAAGCCTGCTAACACACCCTCAACAGCAAAGCCTTCTTATTGAAAGTAGGCAATCAATGGTGCTTCCAAAGTAGTTGCCATTTCCACTAGGATCACTAGTCTTTCATTCCACAGAGCTCAAATTTGGAAGTTTTTAGCAAACGCACCCCTCAGTGAGGCCTAAATGCCAGGCAGAACCTAAGAAAGTGCCTGCAAACTGTATGGAACTTTGCACACAATGGTCATATCGCAAACTTCACATGGTAACAAACAGCACCTCAAAGTGGAGAGTGTTTAAGACTGTTCAAATGCCTGTCAGCAACACATAGAATAACAGAATGGTCTGGGCTGGAAGGGACCTTTAGACATCATCTATCTAGTCCAACCCCTGGGCCATGGGGAGGGACATCTGTCACTAGATTAGGTTGCTCAACAACCATCATCTGGCCACCGGTAAGAGCTAGGAGTGACCATAACCTTTATGGGAAGATGAAAGCAAGACTGGAAAAGATCAAGGAAGTCTGAGCTCTACAGACTAAACTATTTCATTGTGATCCTTCTCAGAAAGAGAATCTGAAAAGGGGGGAGAGGGCTCATTCATCACTTACTCATGGCCCAGCAGCCACGCAAAGGAAGCTGGCTGGCATTTATTTATATGAAGAGGAAGCACTAGCAATCTGAAACAAAAGTAGATGCAATATTTAGGATTAGATTATACAAAAGATGCTTCCTTCCAGATCAGAGTTTGCCAAATAAAACTACTCCAGAATTCTTTAAATCTAACAGCAATCATAATTGAAACTCAAAAAATACTTATTTGCTGAATTGACCCAGCTCTTGCATGTTTGAAAACTGGCATCTTGCAGCAGAGTAGCAAACCTAATTCTCACTTTTGCAGATGATGACAAGAGGTGTCTTGGGATTTGAAGTTCAGTTTTACATAATCTTTATACAGTTTGGAATATTGTTGTAAGATAAGATTGTACTAATGGGGTCTCCTTGATACTGCCAAAGTTCTTCCATTCTCAGTTTGAGCAACATAGACACCATTGCCTGCTAGTTCACGGACAGTGCACCATCTTAAGTATTTCGCAATATTGTAACAAAAAGAAATTATTTTGCAATAAGTCTCATATATTTTTAGTGGGAATTCATTTTAAAAAAGTTGCCTTTGTCAGAAATACTCAATATCAGCATCAAAACAAAGATGAATAAACAAAAGAAATTAGATGGCTGAGAAAAGTTAAAATAACCCTATTTCAAATGCTAACATTACATTAGAAGTAATTAAAATGGGTATCCCAAAGTTAAACCACCTTATATGCTCACCTCTTTTTGATCAACCTGGAGTGCTGATTTTAAAATATCTCTAAGCTGTGTTAATTGTCTTCTTTCCTCATCTTGTGCTTGTTTAATCTTGAATGAAGAAAAACACAGGTTAAAAATAACATTATTGTTTCTTTTCAATGCAGTTCTTCCAAACTTGCTACTTAATTGGTTCATTTTTCTGAGAAATGTTGAGCAAGAATGAAAACATAAAGAGAAAAGATAACATGATGAGTTTATTTTCCTTTATATCTTCAGAAAACTTGATAACGGTGAGGATGTTACTGGGTTAAGACTTTGGTATTGCCTCACACTCTCCTTGCTTCCTTGTGTTCAATTTGAAACCATATGTTATTTTCCACTTACTAAAATTTTAGAGCAAAGCTGTTTTCCTAACATTTTACACAGTGGGGTCCTGAACTGAAACTAAGGCTTCTGGATATGATATTAAAAAAAAAATTTTACTCAAAAATCTACTCAAAACCTTAAAATGCTGACTATTAAAACAGTCAGTCAACCTGAACCAAAGTGATCACAGTTCTACTATAAAAAACTAAGTTTACAACACAAATGTGAAAGGTTGCTACTCACTGTATAAAGATCTGTCGAGAGTGTCTCGATTGAGGGCTTGAGACTTTCAACTGCTTTTAACCCATCCTGAAAGAAACTTAAAAACCAAAAGCAAACTGTTATTAAACTTCACTTTGTATTCTCTGTTTTAAAAGTTGCCAAAGGAAGACATGCGTATTATTATGCCATGCCATAAACTTCAAAACATTAAACATTTATTTTTTATGCATCTTTGACCGATCCACCTCTGTATTTCCATCATAGCTTATTCTAACATGCAAAATCCCCAATTAGATTCAGAACTGCCACATAAGTTTTCCTCTTTCTCACCTCAAATACAGGTTCTCATCCCACTTTTTGAAGGCCCAGAACAAGCAAGATTCATTTGTAGAACAGCAAAAGCTTTAGTAGGTATAAAATAATTGTGACTTCCTGGAGCCAAATAATTTCACATCTGATGCAATCTTCTTACTAAAGGAAAACCCCTTTGTTTCCCAAGCGTTAATTATGGACTATATGCAAACTGAATATGCTACATCTTACTGTATCATGTGTATTTTTGTATTGTCACAGTAATGTTATCTATGCCAAGTATTCCAGCTCTTAAAAAAAAAAAAGTGAGATTTAAAAAATGAATTTAAAGAAACCACAACTACACGCACATTTGATTAAAAATTGCTGCATACGATTTGCAATAGAAAATATTTTCACTCTGGGGAGCAGACATGAAAGTGACAACACAGCACAGCATTTAGGTTGTTGAAACTTTATTAAATGGACAGAGCAGATGAATGACATACTACAAGTGAAACTCATTTTAAAAGCAACATAGCTATATAGGGAGTACACACAGATGCAGACTGGTCTTCTAAGATGAAAACTTACTGATTTGACCAGGTTAACAGCAGCTCTTTCAAGTTTATAGCTATGACTTTATTGCTATATTATTGATCTGTAAGACTACCACAAAAAAGTACATCATTCTAATGAGAGCTTTGTGTTTTATTACTGAGTCCTCCAATTAATTAGAAAAAGAGTGGTTTTTCAATATAGCTTTGTCCCACTGCTTATGCAATTTATTTTTCTTGAGCACAGAATTAATTTACATCATTGCTAGATACACTCAAAAAAGCCTGTCAAAACCAATGCACCACTAATTAATAGACCAAACTAACAGCTCTGTTTCAAGAGTAGTTTATGAAATATGCCAAATTATTGTGTGGCACTCCTTTGGAACAGACAATTATATTCTATGGGACTAGCTCAACCTCATTACATGTTTCAGAATACAGCAACAAAAGCAATGACTAATCTATGACAAAAGCAATTTGTCAAAAGACATCAGCGAGAACAGTTGAATCTTAGATTTATTTTGAAAAATCTAGAAAAGTGTTATGATGATGTCAAAAGTTTTAAACAAAACATTGCTCCAGTTATTGTGTAGATATAAAGAAAACTAAAACATACTTGCACTGAGCATGAAAATACTTGATCAAGTTCTGAAGCAAGTCCACTCCTTTTTTAATCTTGATTTCATTGACTTTCAGCAGGTACTGTTAAAACAGTAATTCACAAAAGAAATTAATTATTACTGCCACAGTATTTTTTTAACATTTTATTTTCAGTTATATTTCCACAAGCTTGCAGATTTAGAACACCTAAAAGAGAGTGCATCAAACAATGGCTTCAAGGTTTAATCACACGAAAGCAATTGTTGTCACCGCTGATTTTTGATACGCTGTGGGGATGCTTCCCTATGATTAGTTCAAATTGTTAAAACATCTTCCATGGCTCCTAGTGGAAGCCTGTGTTAAAGGAAACATAAAAGGATTTGTGCAGTAAATTTAGGAACCCATTCTTAAACCTAGCAGCCCATCTAGGTATCTGTCTCACTAGTTGTTAAATTCATTGCTAAATAGATGTCATTAAGCAAGAAAGCAGTTTACTAAAAAAAAAAAAAAAAAAGCGAGGGATTATTTTAACTGTTTTTAAAATCTGCCTTCTGATTTTATTGTTTTCTCTATCAATTCCTTATTCATAGTAATTATAGCAAATTACAGTTTAGCAAGAGATTTTAAAAATCTACTGTCAAGCTAAAAAAAAAAAAGTGTAATTAGCGTCCTTTTGCATTAGGCACAATCAAGGTCCATGTTAAGTGACAGCTCCTCCCCTGAATGCCATAGCACAAAAGATGTCAGCCATGCAAGCAGAAGTAAGATTGACCAAATATTTACAGGAGTCCTTAACTGTCCATTAAATGACAATTTTTAACCCCTGCTTAGACAGTGACCTCCAAGCAAAGGAGTGAATGTCGTCTTAGCAATGCTCTAATGCATCTGGTTTTCCCCTACCCACAGTACACCTAAATGTTTTAAACCCACTAAAATAAAGCAGTATCCAAGTGCCAGCTTTCAATGTTGCAGCTTTTTGTGCTGGTTCAGGTGAATAGATCATTAGCCTAAATGTAGACATATGCACTGGATAGTATTTAGTTAGAAGAATCACCTCTCTAGCTCCTGTTAATTTAAAATGAGGTGACACTGAGGCACTGGAGCACGTCCAGAGAAGGGCAACGAAGTTGGTGAAGGGTCTGGAGCACAAGGCTTATGAGGAGAGGCTGAGGGAGCTGGGGTTGTTTAGGCTGGAGAAGAGGAGGCTCAGGGCAGACCTTATTGCTCTCTACAACTATGGATATTAGGAAAAACTTCTTCACCGAAAGGGTGGTCAAGCATTGGAACAGGCTGCCCAGGGAAGTGGTCGAGTCCTCATCCCTGGAGGTATTTAAAAGACGGGTAGACGTGGTGCTTGAGGACATGGTTTAGCGGTGGACTTGGCAGTGATAGGTTAACAGCTGGACTCGATGATCTTAAGGGTCTTTTCCAACCTTAATGATTCTATGATTCTATTACACATTTAAGGTAACTTGATTCAATTTCACAGACTTCACCCTGCATTTCATTATCACTACAACTGACTAAAGCGAACTCCTCCTTTACTGTGACACAGGAAGAGAGAAGCATCTGTTCCTGGTTGTTTCTTCAGACCGATACAGATGGGCAATTAGCTGGCAACATCCATGTGTTTATTGGGTACTCAAATCCCTTCATCAGTTTTGAATACTTTAGTCTGACTCCCTATAGGAATGTGAAGCTTTTCTACTCGCTATCAGTGCATGCAGTTACTAAAAGTGATCTTCAGGAAAACTGCTGTTAAGCTATGTTGGCGTATGAGTCAAATTAGCTCTAATCATCATAGTAAAAGCAGAAGAAACACCCACGGTATATTTTTGAGTTAATGCATAGAAAGAACAAACACAGCAACTTGAATTCCCAACCATGGAACCTGACATGCCCTTAAATGAATCAAACCAAAAAACATCTACATCAGTTTTAACATACTGCAAAATCACTAAGATTTCAAAGTAGAAACAGCCTGAAACATCTTGAAAGACAATTGGATTCCATCCTTAGCATTTTTTTTCAGCACTAGCCCAACAGTGTGCTAGACTGGAGTCTCTCCTCATAATAACGCAACAGCTGCCAGCGTAGGGAACAATTCAGAGAATGATCTAGGGCTTAAAATAACTTATAGTGAAGTGGTGGTGTAAAGGCTTATTTATTATCATCTCTTAGTGTTTAATTGAGCTTTGCATTATTTATTTATTCTACGATTTACTTGTTAAGTGAAATTAGAAAAGATCTAAATTCCCTGCAAAGTTAGTGCATCAGGATAAAAAAAAAAAAAAAAAGTGTTTTAGCAAATGCAGTCCACTAATAACTTGGCATTTCCCTTTAACATATTAAACAACTGTGTTTTTCAAAATTTTCGTAAGAATATTAGCAGAACAATATGAATTTCATGTTGCATCTTACCTCACACATCTGTAACTGGAAGAACCTTCTTTCTTTCTCCATCTCTTCTGCAATTTCAGCTCCACTTATTTCTGTACGGATCATCCCATGCAGCTTAGCATGCTCTTTTTTCTCCTTCTCTATTTTTGTACTATAAGGCAAAGAATCAGTCAATGAAGTGAGAAATCCACAGCCTCTCAGGAAATCTGATTATTCACAAAGTCTACTGACAGATGCAGAGCCAAACTCTTGTAGCTTTGCATATGACTTACTTCCAGATGACATTTCATTTGAAATTTGACAATGACTAAAGATCAGCAATGACATACAGTAGCTGAAATCTAATTCAATCATCTGTTAAAATAATGTCCTGACAGATATTCCAAAAGAAGATACTAAGTGAGAGGAAGATACTAAATTCTTGCACTGAAGAAAAAAATCCAGAAACAAAATAATGAATTTTAACTGAAAATGTAAGGGGATGTTTAATCCCAACTGACCAAACACTGGTTAACAGAGTTCAATTATATCACCAAATTTATTGAGTCTTGCCTGTCATCAAGTCATCTTCTATATATACAGGGTTTCCTAAGCCAAAATCACAGTTGCCATCTCTACTTGCTACTGAGCCAGTTGGCACTGGGAATGCCGGCCAGCCGGCTGTGTTGCAGACTTCAAAGTCTGCTAGACCAGCTGTCCTAATTCCCTAAAAGTTTCCATGAACATTTTCCAAGAGCTTTGAATAAAACAGGTTCTCCCGCAGAATATAAATGAATAACCAATGCCTGCCATACAGTATAACTCCCCTAAACACACTTGTGCATTTGTTACAGCTATTCTCCATATTATTCCTAAAGGCAGTGGCATAATTATACTACCCAGTTAGACAAGCCTGATATGAAAAAAAGATATTAATAAAAGAAAATACATGAGGGTGTTTACTCCTTGGAGAAAGACTTTTAGTTTGCCACTTGCACAGTTTGGAAGCTGAAAATTCTGGAAAGAGCTTCCTGAGGAAATGTTGTACTGCTTTTGAACAAGAGGAAGCATTACACAGGAATACAGGAAGCAGACGAGAGGAACAAATAACACACGCACTGTCATACCTCCTCTTGGGCAGTCAAGTGTCTCTCAGCTCTCCCTCTGAGAAGATGTTGTGTCTCAAGTGCTCTCTTAACCTGATGTTAACATTACCCTAAAAGCTACTGGGAAAATGCCCTAGATGGTCTAAGGACTTCCAGTCAACAATACATTCTGTACTTATATTTCTCAAGAATGAGGAACTGCCTCCTCTTACACCTCAAGCAGCAACGGAAAACTAGAATTAATCCCATTAATCCCATCCCATAACATTCCCACAGGGAAACATTTTGAACGGCAATTCAAAACGCCCCACTGCGCTCTCGGTACTGGCAGGCAGGGCAGAGCCAGCCCCGTGCAGTATTCCAGCAGCCAGCACATCCAGCCAGCACCGCGCTCCTTCTCAGCCCATCGCATCCCGCCAGAAGCAGACATTCGGAGGGAAGCTCCTCTCCTTTGAAATAAATATTCTGAAAACCTTCACTCGCCTGAACAGAAACTCGATTCCAGAACATTCTGTTTTTATCAAAATTAAGTCTCTACTCTTACCTACTTACTGCCAGTAATGCCATTTTGTAGCCACAGAATACAGAGTCCAAGCACAAGAATGAACTGGACATCAACCATGAACAAGGAAGATAAATTGTTACAAAAAGATTCACAGAAAATGACAAATGCGCAGCTCCTTCCTAGCATACACTCTAGGAGAGTTTACATTGTATCATACTACACAGTTCTGAAAAAGTCAAACCTCTTCTAGTTCTCTCAATTTCCACATTAGTCTAGCAATTCACGAGGCCAAAGAATTCACTGAAAAGTAAGTCTAATAACCATCAATTGCTGTTGTATTGTATTTTCATCATTTACAGAGAACAGTACTCGAACATAGAATGACATAACCACCTCTAAAATTTTAAGAGCTTATTAACATGTCATAAGGTGTCTCTAAATGCTAGTTAAACCAAAAGACACCTAATACTGCCAGTCAAACATTATGCACAATATTACAGCATTGTTTTAAGAAACGGAATTTTAATTGTTCTAAGAAATTGAATTCCTTTAAAAGAAAGAGCTAGATTTCAGTGAAAGAGTTCTTTCTACTCTTTAAAGGACAAATCACACTCCACAGGCAAAAGGTAGTTAAGCCAAGACTAAAGCATACCGACATCTACCAAGTAATTCAGAGAAATAAGACATTCTCTTGAAGCCATCTGCTGCAGCTTCAGGCTCTGTGGCTTCAAAAACTTCAGAGATGCTTCACACAAAAAACAAACCATCTCTCGGTGAAAAGTACCAGAGATACATGATGGTGCATTTCACATTCGCATTTCCTTATTATTTATGCTTTTAGGCCCTAACTACATTTTCAGCTTTGCAATCCAGAATTCAACCTGTTGTTTTGCTACAGTAACATGCTACCTCCTATCTGAGTGATACTACAGGGCACTTTGTTTCTAGGGAAAACAAAGAAAACAGGTACAGCAGTGTTGCATGAAATCTTCTGAGTGCTAAAGGTTGGCTGTGTTTCCTATCCAAATACAAGAGTCAACTCAGCTTCAAGTGTCACTCTACTGGGACATTAACCAAATCCTGCTGGCAAAGACACTTCTACAATGTACCACTGTGGGATTTCCAAATATTGCAGGGTATTCAGGTTTTCCAGGCAGATCAGTTAAGCAAAATTAATGAGAAAACTGGGAAAACTCTAGAAAAATCCTCTAGAAGCAGTAAGAAGGAAGCAAATGTTTTGTAAAGCTGCTGTTCTCAAAGCCCATTGCAGTACATATCACATATATAGACTTTGCTGACTAAGATTAAAATCTGAGCACACTTCAGTCCATTTACAACGCAGCTGCACATGACTAATATACAGTGAGCTCAGATTTGTGTAACAGACAAGTAAAGCTGAAATACAGGATGAAGAATTTCAACAGAAAAGTCGATCAGATACAAAATAAACAGTCTCGTCCCTTCAGTTTCTACTATATGACTATTTTTACAGCTCCAATTTTAAAACAACTCTTTTTCAATATCAGTTTTAATTCATATTTCAAAGAAATCAATTTTGTTGTACAGATCATGGTATAAATAAACATCAAAGTAAGCATTTTTATTTTTTTTAAACTCTAAAAAGGACAGGACCTATTTTACTGTTTAACACACATACTGGTATTTATTTTCAGCCAGTGAACAAGGGTAAACAAGTACAACACCCTGTGGACATGCAGCAGCGGTGAACTGGCTGGCTGGGCAACGACTCTGTCTTTCTTCCTCTCCTTCCCTATATAGCAGTAAGCCAGGCTGAGTCTGCGTACGTACATGAGAAGGTGCAGAGACTGGGAAGAGCACCTGGAAGGCACAGACTTGAATGGGGATCACTCTGGAAAATTGAGTGCTTCCAAGAGCTATTTTGTTTGACAAAATAATATTATACATTTTCAATTCAAATATCCTTTCTTTGTCTAGTCTTCCTTTTCAGCCTGACTCTCCAACTTCAGCTCTGGCATCCTAGCCTTTCAGTGAAAGAGCCTCCATTTTATATTACCCTATAGTCTGTCAAGGCTGACAGTAAAGCATCACTCTCTCTTATCACCCAAGTCCTGAATGAAGAAGTCATGTTTTCCCTTTGGAAATGCTGGAAAGCTTTTCCCTTTCACTCATCCTGCACTGGAGGATGGGAGAGAAGAGGGCAGAATGAGCAAAACATGTCCAGATCTTTCCAGTACTTCATCCCTAATATATGCTGATTAATTCAAAGCTTTTTCCATTTAATTTGCAGGTAATCTTCTTCAAAATAAAAAACACTTAATATGAAATCTCAGGCTCAAAGCAGTATATTGTAGATGCGGTTTACCTGGACTTTAGTAAAGCCTTTGACACCGTTTCCCACAGCATTCTCCTGGAGAAACTGGCTGCTCAGGGCTTGGATAGGTGCACTCTTCACTGGGTGAAAACCTGGCTGGATGGCTCCGCCCAAAGAGTTGTGGTGAATGGAATTAAATCCAGTTCATGGCCAGTCACAAGTTGTGTTCCCCAGGGCTCAGTACTGGGGCCAGTTCTGTTTAACATCTTTATCAATGATCTGGATGAGGGGATTGAGTACACCCTCAGTCAGTTTGCAGACGACATCAAGTTGGGCGGGAGTGTTGATCTGCTGGAGGGTAGGAAGGCCCTGCAGAGGGATCTGGACAGGCTGGATCGATGGGCTGAGGCCAACTGTATGAGGTTCAACAAGGCCAAGGGCTGGGTCCTGCACTCGGGTCACAACAACCCCATGCAACGCTACAGGCTGGGGGAAGAGTGGCTGGAGAGCTGCCTGGCAGAAAAG